TCTCAGCCTCACAGCTAGACAAGGCAACAGACGAGGAGCGAGTGGACCTCCACGAGATGGCACCCGAACCAAGGCTAAAGCAGTAGCCCTGGGAGGACCTGAGGGTCTCAGCGTCATCTGCCCAAGAAGCGTCTGTGTGCCCAGTAAGGACCACTAGCCTGCGTCCTCCCAGCACTAGCCCCATGCCCGATGTACTCGCAAGATAAAGCAAGACCCTCTTAGCGGCCGACCAGGGACTAGCAGCATGAAGCAGAGATGGGGAGCAGCCTCGGACAGGAAAGCAAGCTCGTACTGCCTGACCTCTAGGACGTCACTGCCAAGGGGAGGAGCACCCCCGACGGACAAAGGATGGACAGGGTCAGAGACCAGAGCGGTGGCGTAGTCAAGGCGGCGGGTAGAGGCGAAGTCAGCGACAACAGCGACAAGAGCGTCAAGACAAGAGACAGGAACAGACGGGTTGGTAACGAGGGAGGCAAGGACCCGAGGAACAAGAGGACGAGCAGCACAAAGGAAGTCAGACAGTGGGGGAGGCGTGACAGTGAGCGACGACAGAGGAGGCGAAGGCAGGAGGGGAGAATGAGACACATGCAAACGAATCAACATAGGGCGAGAATGATGAACACAAGAGACAGGACGAGCACAAGAGGGATAGCGAGACCAGACGTGAACGAGGTGGGACACGAGCCGGGGACAAGTCCGGCGGAGGAAACACAGGACCGTGGACAAGAAGGGGAAGTGGCAGCGGGGGAGGCGCAGGCGAGCGGTCAGGGGAGGGAAGGCCGAGCAGGTGAAGGGCGGACACCGGCGGCGACTGCTACTGCTGTTGCTCGACGCCTACGCCTGGACTGCCAACTGCACCACGGCTACCTTCGAAACACTCCACTCCAGCACCCCCAAAACGAGCACCCCCAGAGAAAGAACCCTCTCCAGCATTGGTGCCACCCCCGAGCCCGCCGGGACAAGCCACGACAGGAACCCCAAGAGTAGCACCCTCCTGAACGCCAACACCCCCAGAGTCCACGAACGGCTGCTGCTACTGCGACGGCCCCGGCTGCGTCACCAGGTAACCCGGTCCAAAGAAGGTTTGGCAAGACCTGTGACCGCTGGGAGCGCGGCGAGAGGTTAAGCTGGTGAGCAGCGTAGCGAACGGCGAACGGCCACAGAAAATGGGGTGCACCGACATGAATTGTGGAGGTACGATACCTAGTAAGCGTGACTCATCAGCTCGCGTTGATTACGTCCCTGCCCTTTGTACACACCGCCCGTCGCTCCTACCGATTGAATGATCCGGTGAAGTTCACGGAAAGCGACGATGCTGATGGTCACCCGTCGGTGACGCTGCCTGAAGTTCATTAAACCCTATCATTTAGAGGAAGGAGAAGTTGTAACAAGGTTGCCATGCGCGGCACAAAAGCCCTTCCGCAGGGGCTTTGCACGTACACGGAAGCCTGAGCGGCCTGGTCCTTTCGTTGCTCGCAGCTACACTACCCTTCCCTGTCCAGTGGTCCCCTCAGGTTCCCTTACAGGTCTGCACATCCCTTCGTTCTCCAGGAACTTAGTTGGTGTCGGCTGTCTTCAGGACCTTGGCGTCACCACTACGTTTCCTGGTCACGAGCTGTACGCTGTCTGTACCGAGACCCCCCCCGGTTTGCACGTCCTCCTCGGTCCCTGCGTCTACCAAGGTCGCTGCGGCTTGCTCGTGTCATTCGCTCACCCACCCATTGCTTCTGTGGCACCACCGCCTAGGTCACCCCACACTCCCGCGTCTGCGTCACATGTCTCAGCAAGGTCTCGTCCTAGGTCTCCCTGCGTCACTTCCTGCCCTCCCTCCCTCGCCTGCGCCACCGTGCACGCCTTGTGTCGAGGGCTGGCTGTGCCATGCTCCTCACTCCTCGCTTCGTCCCGCCACCGCACCCCTCCGGACCCTGCACCTGGACGTCTGGGGCCCAGCCCCCGGCCCTGGACTGCAACGCGAGCACTACTTTCTAGTGCTCGTGGACGACTACACGCGCTACACCACGTGTTTCCCTTGGAGCGGAAGGCCGACGTGCCTGACGTTCTTATCCCGTGGGTCGTAGCTATGCGCCTCCACCGCGGTCTCCCTGTGCTGTGTCTCCACTCCGACCGTGGCGGCGAGTTCGCCTCTGGTCGGCTTGGACAGTTTTGTCGTGCAGAGGGCATCATCCAGTCGTACACCCAACCGGACTCCCCGCAGCAGAATGGGGTCGCTGAGTGACGCATCGGGGCGGCAAGGACAACAGCAGCAGGCTTGGCAAGAGGCGTGAGTGTGGCGTGGTCGCGGAAGAAGCAGGCAGACGCACCGGAGTCAAAGGTGAAGGACAGGGAAGCGGTAGCGGCAGACGAAGGAGGAGCGAGTGTGGAGCCTAGACTAGACAAAACAAACGGTCCTACGCCTGACGCAGCAGGGGTGTCTGTACTACACACATGTGCTACGCCTAAGCTAGAGAACACAGGGTAATAAGATCAAGACACACTAGAAGTGTCAGCGTACAGAGAATGCAATTCAGAACTAATCTGATCCATGTCTAAGTCAAAAACAGGCACACCGTGGCGCAGCAGACTGGGTCATTCAGGGAGGTCTGGAGCCGGGCCGAAGCGGCGACGAAAGAGGTCGTCGAGGCGGCGGAAGCAGCGGGCGGCAGCACACAGTGCCACGGAGGGCCCCGGTCTCGAGCTGGTACTAGCAGCCCACAGCACCGTAGCCGCCGGTAGACACCAAGCTGCGAGGACCGCCACCTCGGCCACCACCTCCAGGGGCTCCCGGCCACCCCGGCGGGAGGCGGGCCCACAACAACTGCTGCGGCTGCTACTGCTCCTGGACACCTGCCCCAGCCCGCTCGTCAGAACCACCGTCGCCACCACCACCACCACCACCACGCCCTCCCTTGGGGCCGCGACGGCCTCGACGCTGTCGCTGCTGCTGCGAGAAGGCCGCCGTTGCGGTCTCAGTGGCAGGAGCAGTCGTAGCGACCGCAGCGGAAACGTCCGCGTACGTGCAGTATGAGGGAGCACAGCCCTGAAAGATAGGGACTACCGCAACACCGCTTGACTGAGCGATAGTGCGCTGGCGAGTCTCTATCTCAGAAAGGGCAGCGACAATAGCGATCAGGGTGAGGTCACCACGGTGCTGGTTTAGGAAGTGGTCGCGGGCAGTGGCTAAGCGGTCAGGCAGGCGCATAGGAATAAGGTACAGGGTAGCGCAGAACGGCGGGGGAAAGGCAGTGAACTGGGCAGTAGTGCTAGAAGCGCGGTAGATATTCTCTAGTGCACGGAGGTGAGTGGCGAGATCAGCGACAGCGGGGAAAGCAAAGAGATCGGGGAAGAGCATGGGGAGGATCAAACGTCCAGCTGAGGTGGAGGCAGGCGTGGAGTAGCATGCAACTACTGCATCTAAGAAGTCTTTGGTATTCGCGACAGCAGTGAAACGCGGACGCTCAGAAAGGGGAAGCGCATGACTGATGGCAAGCTGCGCTACAGCATCGCGAGAATCCCAGACAGTGCGAGCGAGCGCAGCAGCAGCAAATGCCTCACTCTCAGCAGTGGTGGGGTCAGCAGGGAGGGGATCAGGGGCAGAGGGGCGAGGAAGCAAGCCATCAACATGCATAGCCAGGGAGTGCCCATCCTGGCGCTGACTTGTCAGGTGCCGGTGTAGATCGACAAGCCAGGCGACGAAGTCGATCGCGTGCCCCTCCGCGTCCAGACGTAGCATGGCGTCCGCCATCGCGCAACCACAGCGGCACCGGGACATAGCGGCACAGCGGCACAAGGACACAGCGGCAAAGCGGCACAGGGACCCAGCTGCACGGCAAGACAGCGACGCGGCGGCAGGACTCGCCGGAACGGGAATCGGATGGAAGGCCGAGGAGGGCGCGCGAGGAGCCTGCGGGCGCACAAGGGGCCGAGGCGCACGAGGGGCCGGCCAGGTATGGGAAGGGGGGTTTCCGGCGCGTAGAGAGGGGCCGGTACGGCGAGTGGGGCCGGCGGTGTACAGGAGAGGGGCCGGCTAGGCGCGAGGGGGCAGCTGGGCGCAAGGGGGCGGCTGGGCGCGAGGGGCTGGCGACGGCGCGAGGGGCCAGTTAGGTGCGAGGGGCCAGCGACGACGCGAGGGGCCAGCGACGGCGCGAGGGGCCGTCTACGGCGCGAGGGAGGGCCGGCTGGTCGCGAAGGGGCCGGCTAGGCGCGATGGGTCGGCTAGGGCGCGAGGGGCCGACAACGGCTTGAGGGGCCGACTAGGGCGCAAGGGGCCGACTAGGGCGCAAGGGGCCGACTAGGGCGCAAGGGGGCGGCTAGGTCGCGAGGGGCTGACTAGGGCGCAGGGGGTCGACGATGGCACGAGGAGCCGGCTGGGACGCGAGGGGCCGGCTAGGGCGCGGGGCCGACGAGGCGCGAGAGGGGGGGATGGGGGGGTGGCTGGGCGCGAGAGGCCGACTAGGCGCGAGGGGCCGGCTACGGCGCGCGGGGCCGGCTACGGCGTGAGAGGGGCCGGCTGGGCGCGAGAGCCCGACTAGGCACGAGGGGCCGGCTACGGCGCGCGGGGCCGGCTACGGCGCGAGAGGGGGCCGGTTGGTCGCGAAGGGGCTGACTAGGCGCGAGGGACGACGTGCACGCTAGGGGCCGGCGGACGCGCTAGGGGCCGACGAGGCGCGGTAGGCTATGGCGCGGGGCGGAAGCGGGTGGGGGGGACCTAACCTACTCATGATACCATGTTAGAATACTAGAATAAACATACAAGTGAGAACACACAAGATTTAGGGTTGGGTTGTACTCTCCAAGAACATACACCTTTTCTAGCCTATAACTTCTACATGCAAATGTATGTACAAGTTGACAGTCTCCTCCACCTTCTCTCGTACAATCATGCACGCCCTACAGGATACAGGCTCCAACTCGCATAGTCACCTTGTCTCCTACCCGTCATGCAAAGGCTTTCTACCCTGGCAAAAAATCAATTGTATTGAAGATAACATGCATACATCTGCATATATAGGCATCAGAATACAAAGCCACCTTACACTGACTACCCTACTATATTATCTACACTACCTGTGATGTTGCCCGTGGCATGGTTACCACGCCCTGGACTCCTGGTCCAGCCCTTGTGGCACATGGTATTGAACGTCTCAGCTCAGAGCCATCCACGATGCATGCCCATCTGCCCATGCACATGGTTCTGACGCAAGTAGCAGGAGGGCTACCGCACACCCATGCTCATCCCTTGCGCACCTCACCAACCACCTAGTCCATCCCATGTGCACCATGAGCTGATGGATCGTTGCTCCAGCATCCATCCATCATGTATGGGGCAATCCATCCATCATGTGCACACACGCATATGGTTGGACTGCAAGCTCTCAAGGCACACCACACCACACCACATGATAGCCATCATGCGTCACCCCACCCACCACCCTCTTGCCTGGGCTTTGGCTGAAATCATGGGTGTGTACCACATGACCATGCCATGGCATGCCACACCATGACATGGTCCAGCATGGGGTCATCCAGCAAGGGATGATACACCATGCCTCCCAGCCACCACCGGCATCACCACCACTACCATCACCGGCATCACCACCACTACCATCACCGGCAGCAGGGAAAACTGGTGATGGTGGTGGAGGTCATGGTAGGCAATGGGGTTGGTGCTTGTGCCAATGATGCTGGTGATGGGCAATCACTACCATCCCCAGCGCCACCATCCCCACCATCGCAGTCCTCCTCCAACTCCCACCAACACAGTCCTCCTCCACCACCACCAGCATCACCTCCCCTCCTCACCACCATCTTTACACACCACCACCACCACCACCATCTCTCCCCACCACACCCCACTGCGCCACGCCAGTCCATCTCAAGTAGATGTGTGCGTGCATGAGCCCAACCAGGCACCGCTGCACACCACCACTCGTGAGGAGCAGGGGGGCAGGGGCTGTGGCACCAGCTGAAGAGGTGGTGATGGTGGTGGTGGTGGTGGGAAGTGGGGATGGGCGGTCAAGGTAGAAGGTTGAGGTGAAGGTGTGATCTGGCAGAGGGATGGCGAGAACCCCCCGAGTGAACTGAGCCCCAGGCAGGGGAAGGAGGTTGAAGGCACCAGAGCAAGGCAATTGAGAGGCAAGAGAGGGTGGTCGAATCCCCCAGGTTAAGGCGAGCCTAAGGCAAAGGAGGGGGATTCCCCTGCCCCATGCTCGCATCAACCAGAGGGTTTCAACCCCCCTTCCCCCCCACCCTCCCCCCCGCCCCTTGCTTGCCTTACCCAGGGTGCTCCAACCCCCTTCCCCTGCCTGGGTGTCAACATACCCAGGAGGTTCTCACCACCCCTCTGCCACATCCGACCACCACCACAGCCCCCCACCTTCACTGCCCATCACCTCTTCCCTCCACCACCACCACCAACACCAACACCACACCACCACCACCAGCACCACCACCAGCACCAGCACCAGCACCACCCCATCTCGCCATCACCACCTCTCACCACCACACCCCACTGCAGCGCCACCCCTTCTCATCACCACCACCATCACCACCACACCCCCCTGCCACCACCACCCTTCTCACCACCAGCGCCAACACCACCACCACCACCGCTTCTCACGGCCACACCCCACTGCCACCACCACCTCCCTCACTCACCATCCCCTCACCCGCCAGCAGCAAGAGAGGCATGCAGCACAGGCCCCTTAGAAGCAGCACCGGCAGTACCCATTGCGCTGAGGTGCCATGTGAGGCAGGAGGCAAGCACACGGTAAGCCCAAGATCCAATTACCCCTCACCGGCGTGGCAAGAGCTGGCACGAGACAGAACCATTCGGCCGCAATGGTCTGCCATGGGCCCATTATGCATTAACGCGCGGGTATTGCGATTGGACACAGAGTGCTTGACACGTGTAGTTGCACTGCCTCACCCAGCCCTCATTGCTTATAGTACTGAAGATGCTGCCCCCAGGAGCCAGCATCGCATGCCATCCCCCACCCCGCCCCACCCACCTCCATCCCCTCCCCCACGCCTTCAGCTTACCTCACTTACCACCGCCATGCCCAGCCAAGGGATGTGACGCTGCTGGGGGAGGGAGGGGGTTGGGGGTTGAGGGACTCTCCACTGCTACCTTCTTGCTCCCTCCTCTGGTGCACCAAGGGGTGAGAAGCTGCTGGGGAGAAGAGAAGGGGTTGAGAAAAGCTCTCCTCTGCTAGCTCCAGTGCTCCAAGGGGAAGCTGCTGAGAAAGAGGAGGGGGGTGTGAGATACTCTCCTCTGCTCCTCTGCTTGCTCCAATCCAATGCGCCAAGGGGAAGCTGCCGAGGGAGGCAGGGAGGAGAAAGAGGAGAGGAATGTCACCATACCGTACCATACCTGTACCTACACCATACCATACCTGTACCTACACCATACCATACCTGTACCTACACCATACCATACCTGTACCTACACCATACCATACCTGTACCTACACCATACCATACCTGTACCTCGCTCACACCTAACGCCCTTAACACACCCCCGCCTATGCTGCTGCCCTGCTGCCCTGTCCCTGCTGTTGCCGCTGCACCCCTGCTGCTGCTGCTGCTGCTGCTGCTGCTGCTGCTGCTGCTGCTGCTGCTGCTGCTCAGCTACAGGCTCTGCTGCAGACTTGCTGGCTGCTGCCAAGTGACCTGCCAGGAGGGGGGGGGGAGGGTGTGGGAGGTGGTGAGGAGGAAGGGAGAAGAAGGAAGTGAGTGCAGGGGAGAGAGCACCAACTGAAACAGAAGCAGAGAGCGAATGTGCTGAAATTCCAGTTGGGAGGAGAGGGGCTTACCTTGAACAGCCAAACCCAGCCCAGATACTCTCCCTTGCAGGAAAATGCATTGCCGCTGCTGCTGCTGCTGCTCAGCCACAGGCTCTGCTGCAGACTTGGCTTGCTGCTGTCAAATGACCTGGTGGGGTGGGGGTGAGGGACGGGGGTGTGGGGGACGGTGAGGAGGAAGGGAGACGAGAGGAATGAGTGCACGGAAGAGAGCGGCCAAGCAACAAAGCAGGAGCAGAAAGCGAATGAACAGGAAGTATGGAGGAGCGGCTCACCTTGAACAGCCGAACTCTCCCTTGCAGGAGGATGCACGGCTGATGCTGCTACAACAGCCGCACCACTGCTGCTCAGCTACAGGCTCTGCTGCAGACTTGCTGGCTGCTACCAAGTGACCTGCCAGGAGGAAGGGGTGGGGGTGGGGGGTGGTGAGGAGGAAGGGAGACGAGAGGAATGAGTGCACGGGAGAGAATGGCCAAGCAACAAAGCAGGAGCAGAAAGCGAATGAACAGGAAGTACGGAGGAGCGGCTCACCTTGAACAGCCGAACTCTCCCTTGCAGGAGGATGCACGGCTGATGCTGCTACAACAGCCGCACCACTGCTGCTCAGCTACAGGCTCTGCTGCAGACTTGCTGGCTGCTACCAAGTGACCTGCCAGGAGGAAGGGGTGGGGGTGGGGGGTGGTGAGGAGGAAGGGAGACGAGAGGAATGAGTGCCAGGAAGGGAAAGCCAATGGAAACAGAAGCAGAAAGTGAAGGAGCAGGTACTGCAGCAGGAAAGAGAGGGGCTTACCTTAAACAGCCAAGCCCACCCCAGCTACCCTCCCTTGCAGCAGCATCCACTGCTGCTGCTGTTGCACTGCACGCTCTCAGCGACAGGCTCTGCAGCCGACTTGGCTCGCTGCTGGCAAGTAACCTGCCAGGCGTGAGAGCGGGGAGGGCAGGGAGGGGGGAAAGTGGGGTGAGGGAGGAGGTAGGGAAGAGAGAGAAGTGAGTGCAGGGAAGGGCATGCCAAATGAAACAGAAGCACAAAGTGAAAGAAAGGTGAAGCAGCCAGGGAAGTGGGGGGCTTACCTTGAACAGCCGAGCCCACCCCAGATACTCTCCCTTGGAGCAGCATCCACTGCTGCTGCTGCTGCCGCTGCTGCGCCGCTCTCAGCTACAGGCTCTGCTGGTTGCTGCAGGCAAAAGGCCTGCCAGGACCGAGGGCGGGGAGGGGAGGCGAGGGGGGTTGCGGGGGAGGGAGGAGGAAGGGAGAAGAGAGAAGTGAGTCCAGGGAAGGGAGCGCCACATAGGACAAAACCAGAAAGTGACCGAGCATGCATTGCAGCAGAAGGAAAGCGGCTCACCTTGGAAGGCCGAGCCCACCCCAGATACTCTCCCTTGAAACACCAGCGGGCGACTCCCTTCCATGGCAGCCCTCCTCCCAGTGCTCCCGAGTGCGCCCCTGTACGGCCACGGGGGAGGGGCGTGAGGGAATGTCGGTGTTGACCCCACGCCCCTCCCCAGCACCTGCAATGCACACACACGGCAGTGGTCAGTGTGCATGGCATGGCAGCAGGCACAAGGCACGGACTGGAAACAGCCAAGGCTGGAAGAACAAGGGAGGGGCCACTGGTGGAGCCACGGCCACACGCCACACACCCCAAGGGGACATGCACCTGGGGGGGGCTGAACCTGAGGGGGGGGTACCTGCACCTGGGGGGGGCTGAACCTGAGGTGGGGTAACCTGCACCTGAGGAAGGGTACCTGCACCTGAATTAGGGGGTCTGAGGCATGTACGCCGGGCCCAACCAGTGGCATTCTTTGAAGGCGAGGGGTACGAAAGCACATGCAAGAATCGAAATGACAGCAATTGCAAAACGTCATGTGGCATGGAAGGGTGAGGGCAGGGAGGAACGGCCACTTAACTGAGAGCCGTGGCGTGAGGGCGAGCAGCAGGCAGCAGAGGCACCAGCAGGCGACTCCCCTCCACGGTAGCCCTCCTCCCAGCGCTCCCGAGTGCGTGCCTGCACGGCCACGGGGGAGGGGCGTGAGGGAATGTCGGTGTTGACCCCACGCCCCTCCCCAGCACCTGCAATGCACACACACGGCAGTGGTCAGTGTGCATGGCATGGCAGCAGGCACAAGCCACGGATTGGAAGCAGCCAACGCTGGACGATCAAGGGAGGGGCCACTGGAGGAGCCACGGCCACACGCCACAGACCCCAAGGGGACCTGCACCTGGGGGGGGCTGTACCTGAGGGGGGATACCTGCACCTGAGAGGGGTACCTAAATTAGGGGGTCTTTGGCATGTGAGCCGGGCCCAACCAGTGGCATTGTTTCAAGGAAAGGGGTCTGAAAGCACATGCAAAGCGAATAAAACTGAAACGAGCGATTGCGACATTGCAAGGCTGGATCCAGTGGGTGAGAAGCACTTACTGGGTTGGTGTTTGGTGCAGGTGAGTGCAGGCGGGAGCGGTGGCGTTGGAAGGGAAGGCGTGGAGCAGATGGAAGGGGCAGCCGGCATGGCGCCCCAGGCATTCCAGACGCGCAGCATTAGAGTTCCTGCAAGGGGGAGGGGGAGGGAGGAGAGGGGGAGGGCAGGGGTGCGCGTAGAAGGGCAGTAAGTGAGATAGGAACGCCAGCGTGGAAGGGGATTGGTGTATGCGTGGCGAGATGGAGGACGAGCGGAAGGAGGGCCGCCGGTGGAGGAACAGCTGCTAGCCACAGACCCAAGGGAAGGTATACCTGCAGTGAGGGCTGTACCTGAAGGCTTAACCTGGGGGGGGCTTTACCGGCAGTAAGGGGGTCTGTGGGTCGTACACTGTGCTTCCACCAGCGGCGCCGTTCTGAGAAAAAGCGAAACGACACAAAAGACGGATGCACGCATGCATGGAGGAACCGGTACTTCGCTGATGAGGGGAGGGGAGTGCGCGCAGAAGGCAGGGGAGGCAGCGCGAGGTGCCGCCTTGCGCTGCTGCTGGAGGCACGAGGACGCTGACGCACCCCCACGTGCTCTGCTTGCTCGTCTGCCACTGCTCCTTGCACTCAGAGGCCGAGTGACCTGCAACAGGGAGAGGGGGCGGAGGGAACAAGGAGTCCACAAGGTGAGGACGGGGAGGCACAGCTGAGGCGAGCAGAGCAGCGGCAGCACCTGGTGCGTCCCCTGGAGCAGCGCCAGCACCTGATGAGCCCCGTGAAACAGCTCCGCCACCTGGGGGGGAGGGGGAGGTCGCCCATGGCACACAAGCACAAGCGAGAGGCGGCGAGGGGAGAGGGCGAGGAGGAGGAGACTGACACGTGCACGCAGCGACAACTCTAAGTCTAACAACATCTAAACCCCTAGGGACAAAACCCTATGCAAGCGGCTCAAGCAAGCGCCGTGGCCATGGGCTTCCAAGGGGAGCGGGAGGGGAAGGGTGGGTGGGGTGAGAACGAGCAATGGATAGGGTGGGGTGCAAGTAAAGAAAAATAGCATGCAAGGGAATGGGGTCGGCCGTGCACTTAGCTTCACAGAGGGCTTTTGAGGGCGATGTTGTTCGCAGCAGCAAGAGACAGGTGACGCTCGGTTGCCATGCATGCCGAGCGCCATGCGTGCTGCCACGGGTATGCATGCCGACTGGCGCCACACCAGGACTTGACCTCGTTGGCTTCAACGCTCGTTTGAATGGTGGCGCACCTGAGAACACGCGAACAACGAAGTTGAGTGAGAACGAATCGTAAAAACCAAGTTAGCAGAAAACGACGTCGGGGTGTAACGGCGTACCTAACGAATTTCAAGCTCGCGGTGGTTGGTGTCCTCGAAACCGTGGGGAATGCAGGCGGACGGTCTTGAGGATGGAAGACGGCCGGCTATGACGGGAGTTGACGGCGGACGGCGGATGTGACGTTCCCTGCAAAAAAAGAACGAAAAGAGTCAGAAACTTGCACGGAGGTTCAAGAACGAATGAAGCGGATTGAGAACGTACCTTGTCGTTGAGGTACTGCGGAGTCCCAAAATTCGTCCTCTGCAATGGTCAGTTACGGCTGGTGGCGGATTGCGGATGTTACACTGACTGCGACGGAGAAACACAGGCAGCGTCAGAAACGCTCAAAACTCGTTGGAAAAAAAACAACAAAACCGAAACATATGGGAAAATTACCTGTGTTGAAACGCGTTGACGAGGTTTCAGGCTCCATAACGCCAGCAGAGAGCGTATTGATGATCGTGATGCGCATGAAGCTAAGCCCTGATAAGGGATGTAAACGCGCTGTGAAAGCAGCCTGGTCGAGGTGCGAATATGCTACATCTACGGGGAGAGTTGAGTTGGAGAACGAACGCAATGTTGAAATGAATGTGCAAATGTCTGGCTAAATTTATTAGGTCGGAGTGTCGCTGGGAAAAATGCGTGGTTGAAATGTCGTTCCTGGGAAATGCGTGGTTGGATTGTCGCTCCTGGGAAATTCCTGCTTGGAATGGCCATGTTTGAAACCCAATGGAGTGGGGGGAAAGGGAGTGTGAGGTTCAGCACTCTCGGTTCGGTGGACAGCTACAAACGAAAAAAACCGAATCGGGCCTTTTGGAGCGAAAGCCGCGCAGCTCCAAAGCGAGAACAGGTTCGGAAATCGAGGCTTGGGCTGGGAGGGAAAGCCGTTGGGACAAAAGAAGGGGACTGATGAAGCTAGAATCGTAGGATCATTTTTCTAACGAAACAGATCTACGGCTCGGATCGATTGGGTGAACGTTATCGCCAGGCGGGAGCGGGAAAGGGTCAATTAGAAACGTGGGGAGGCGGCTCGCGTGATTTCCAAGTCAGTTGGCTCGCCAATAGAAGAGAACCTATCCTAAACGTTTTAAGAGATTCCGCTGGGATAAGGGTTTGGGTGGTGGATATTCCTGCTCTCCCTGAGTATCTGAAGAATAGCCTGGAGTTGTGTCAGATTCAAGGGAGGAGATGTTGATGGTTGAGCGAAAAGCTGGTTGTGCGAAAGGTTTTGACGAAATCTTTGGTCGTGTGGGACAGGGCAACGCTCGATGTGGTTGGCGAAAGCACTGCTCAAGGACTGTGATACCTTACCTGTGAGCGGATGTTGTGTGGCTGACGATAATCATTCTGATTGACGACCAATCATGTCCTTGAGAATATTGTGACGTGGCTGCATAATCTGGTTGCTTGCCAAAAGTTCTGGTTTGGGCCAGGCCTTAGTTACGTTGGGCCAGACTGGCTGGGTTATGCCCTAGGTTTGGTGGTTACGTCCCAGGAGTGTGATTGGGTAACCTCGGTTTGGGTGTTCGGTTAGGCACTTAGCGCCCAGCCACACATTGGAACCTTGGGTTTCCACTTCGCCGTTCATGTCATTCTGAAATGTATGAAAAGTGTGGATATTTACAGTCGAGTTTTCATAACCTTATATTAATGAAATCATTCGGCAACCTCAACCCTCAGCAAAGCACCACATGCATCGGCTCACATATTCCATTCAGCATGGGTCGTCCGACTTCCGGGCAAATTCGAAAGGATTCCTCTTCCCTGTCCAGCATTCACCCACTTCCACCCGCCGCCGAAACACTCAACTGGTGCAGAACTGTACTGTACCTCCCTCACCTGAGGAGCTGGTGAGCCAAGCCAAACCAACCAACCAAACCCATACCACATGAGCCATTCTTCCATAAATTCGTGCATCCAATTTTACCGTCCCATCCCTTACTTCATGGCTTCCTCCTCTTGCTTGCCTCGCCTTTCATGGCTTGACTAGTCCGATGAGTTCTTCCTTCCCATGTTTGCTATTCTGAGCAGTTAGGGCAGGGAGAGTCATTTGCGGTGGCTGAAGCGAGATAGAGCGAGAGTCCTTATGGGTTACACAACAAGCGCGCCACGTCAGACCTCCAGGCATGCGCGCGTATCTACTGGCACGCAGCGCGAGAGTGTCAGATCGGGTAAGGAGCGCGCGGAACCTCGTACATGTCGTGACGATGACGTGTCAGGTGACAGCTACTCGGAGGAAGAGCACGCCGGCACAAGTAGAGTTGATAGCAGAGCTGGCGGGAAAAACGGCGGCAGAATCGGTAGCGGTAGTAGCAGTGCCCGGGGAAAAGGAGATGGACGGAGCAGAAAGGACGACACAGGTAGAACCGATAGCCGCCGCGAACGTAGGAGTGATGAATGCCTGGATGAGGATAGCACTGAGTACGAGAGTAATGACGAGCATACGGATAGCGAGGACGTCTTTAGCGAGAACGAGGAGGCCAGTACCGGCAGCGACGATGACGACGGCAGCGATAGGTCGTTGTCGCCTCGAAGCGGTAGCGGTAGACGCCACAGAAGGCGCGATTCGGACGACAGCCCACGCCGGCGCTCCGGCTCGCGATCTCCGCGCACCCCTGAGTCAGCGCGGTCTCCGCGAGACGCGAAGTCGTGGAGCGGTTCCGACGACGACGCGTCGAAATCTAACCGATCGAGTCAGTCGAGCCGGTCGAGCCGCTCGCCGGATTCGTGCAGAAAGCAGCCGCGCGACAGGCGGCAGAATAGGCCGGTAGCGGAGAGGACTGCGGGCCGGGGAGGCGACGGCACAAGGCGGCAGCCGCGGGATAGCCCCCGACGTGGCGGATATGAGCGAGAGAGGGAGCGAGAGCGGGATGAGGGGAAGGGGGAACGACTGAGTCCGCTGAAACATCCGCCAACACAGCAGCAGCAGTCGCACGTACCTTCTCATTCCGAGAGATCTCACCCGCCGAAGCAGCAGCAGCAGCAGCAGCAGCAGCAGCAGGAACAGGTGCGGGTTCCGTTGAACAGTTACCGTCGCTCGCAGTCCGCGGGCCGGTCCGAGCATCGAGATTACCGAGAATCCAACTGCCACGGGGAACCTAGTAACGAGTACGAGGAGAAGTACGTCAGCCGCAGCAGGGCACGGGCATCAGCGGCGTCGGTGGATTTTTCTCACAGGAATCCGCCCGGACTTTACGCGCAGGAGCACGAGCATTCAAACGAGCAGGCGCAGGAGCAGGAGCAGCACCACCAGTACCGCCAGCAGCACCGCCAGCAGCGGATAGCTGCAGTCCCGCTTCCGCAGCATAAGCGCTACGCTTCCGCCGCCGCCGTCCCCGCAAAGCAGCGCTCCGCAAGTCTCTCCGCGGTGTCGCTAGACCAGGCGGCCGCCGCCATCGCCGGCGTCGCTGGCGGCGACGATCCCGCGGAGCCTATTTATGCCAGCAGTGCCGCCTACTCCGGCGCTGGCGGCGGGAATTGCGGGGCGCCATTGCCGGGGGGGAACGCTGCGGGAGGGCGCACGGCTTCCGCCCAGGCGCGGTCAATGCGGAAATGCATCAGCGGGGATCGTGCTAGTCTGGCGGGCGGTTCGATGGATCTAGACAGGTGCAAGCAGGGAGGTCTGGGGATAGGCGCACGTGGTGGCGCTGGTGGCGCAGGGGGGTGTAACGCGCCGCGGCCAAGTGGTAACCAGCCAGGTAACCAGCAAGGCGTACAGCCGTTGAGGCAGAACGTTCGTCCATCTGCGATTGGCCGAAGCATGAGCGTTCCGGATGACGAACTCGAGCGAACTGCACCAGGTGGTGGTTACCAGCAGCACCAGGGGCAGGGTCACAGCCACGGGCAGGGGTATATGCACGGGCAGATGAACGGGCAGCCGGAATACGCATACCGGCAGCCCGGCCCAGGAAAACTCCAGATGAAGGCTCTTCGTCGCGCACAGTCAGGCCGTCTCGATTCCAGTAACAGGGCTGCCAATAACGGATCACCTTCCACCAGCAGCAGCACCAGCGGCAGCAGGCGAAGCGCAATGCCGCGGTCCATGTCAGCTAGAGCGCCGTCCCCCAACCCGCCCTTCCTCCCAAACGGCCTAATCGACCTTTACCCCGCAGAGCCACTGTCCCCTAGGGAGATTCAGACCCCTGTGGGCGCCCCCCCCGAGAGGAGGGAGTTCCCTGCCCTCCCCATGCTCGACATCCCCTGGTGCTCCGCTGATAGCCCCCGCTCCCCCCCCAAACCCATCAACGTCGGCCCGCCCCTCCGACCCTGCAGCTTAGGTCAGGCATCCGCAGCAGCGCAGCAGGTTCGGGCTGGGGGGAGGATTGGGATGAAGTCAGGGCAGGGGATGGGGGCGAGTGGTAGGGAGGGGGGTGGGGGGAGGGGAGGGGGGGAGAGCAGCATGAGTGTGGAGAGGCGGGTAAAGGCGCAGGCAGCAAGGCATGCAGTGCGTGTGGTGGAGCTGGGGGCGCCGGCAGAAGGGGGGGCACCACCTGGCATGGGGGCAGTAGCAGGTGCGGCCGCAGGGGGGGAGGTGGGTGCAGCGGCAGTGGCAGGGCAGGTCAAGAAGGGGCACTTGAGGGGGCTCTTTGCAAGTTGGGGCGGGCACTAGCTAGCGTGCGTCTATTGGGTATGGTGCAGGCCCTCAGATTCGTTTTAGGCCACACTGAATTTTCAGGGTAGGTGCACAAAGGCACCCTGAAAACTCCCTGAAAATCAGGGTTGGTTGGTAGTACTGTTTTTCAAACAAGTAAGCCCCGTTTTTTCAGAGGGCCTGGTATGCTGCAATGGGCTCTCACAGCCTTCAGGCTGCCATAGGTGCTTTGGGATCTGCACCTTTTGCTTGAGTTGAGACGACTCTAGTCTGTGAAGATTGTAGGTACGTAGACTCATGTTGTAGTTTGATTGCAACTGTTCTTATTCCTGACGGGCTGGTTATGCAAGTCAGACTGAGCATGGGGCCGATATAACTGCACATGCTGGCATGTGTGACTGTCTACTTGCCAACATACATCCGTTGAGCTGCTGCCCTTGGAGGCACGGACGCCGAGGGAGATTTACTGACAGCAGCCTTTCCTGCCTTGAGCTTGCCTCCACTCTTGGTGCGAATCAGGCCTGCTGAGGGAACACCTGCCTCACCTCCTGCTGCGCCACCCCCTGCCGCTGCCCCTGCACCAGCCACGCTGCTCACACTTCTGCCAAGCACTGCAGCCCCACCTCTTGCGGCGCCCCTACCACCACCACCAACAGCGCCACTGGCACCGCCAGCAATTCCCTTCCCTGGCCTCTCCTGAGCGCCCACTGCCGACGCCGTTCGCACGAGCCTCGATGCGGAACGCGAGAGAGAAGCGGAGCGAATATAGGCAGCCGCAGCACCACTGCTGTTGCTAGGGTTGGTTGGGGCAGCATTGCTGGGAGTGTCGCTGGTCAGCAGCTGCTGCAGCTTGTGCTTCTGCTGCTGCTTCACCTGCTGCTTCCTCTGCTGCTCCTCCAGCAGCAGCCTCGCCGTGGTCTGCCCTCCTCCAGCTGAACCCTCCCCCCCCACACCCTTGCCTCTGCCACCCCCACCCTGGGCGTTCCCACCCTTGCTACTCCCACCCTTGTCACTGGCACCCGTTGCACTCCCACCCGTGACACCCCCGCCCCGATCACTCTTGGACTTGACCATGGGGGGGCGCGGCTGGGTGGTGGCAGGCAGCTGATCCAGCATGCGGCGAGAGGGGGGCGAGAGGGACGACGCCAGGCGCGCACGCGAGGGCGACTTGCTCACTCCACTGCCGCCACTGCTGCTGCCCTTGCCACCTGTAGCCCCCCCTGCACCAGCCTTGCCCCCTGTCTCTGCACCACCACCCGCAGTCCCTCTGCCACGCCCACCACCACCACCACCAGCGCCGGTGGTTCGGGCACTCACTTTCTTGTCACTAAGGCTGGTGCTTCTGGTGCTGCTGCTGATATTCCTGCTGCCAGTTCGGCCTAGATTCTGCGTCTCCACCTGCAGCTTCCGCACCGCACTGCCCCTGCCGTTGCTGCCGGCGGGCTCGGCAGCGACAGGCTCTGGGCGCCTGTCGCCCCTGCCTGCTGCTGCGGCGACCACGTGGGCTGCTGCCCCCGTGCTCACAGACCGTGTGAAGGCACTGGTTGGGGAATTGCCAGGGAATGGCACGCCTGGTGCTTGACTGGCCTGCAGCGCCCCAGCAGCACCGGCAGCTCCAGCAGCAGCATTGCGGGAAGCAGGAGGCTGCATGGAAGTTGTGCGTGCCAGTCGTGCTGCTGTTGCCGCCCCCGCGCTGAGCGAATGTGTGAGAGCACCGGTTGGGGAGTTGCCAGGGAAGTGTTGACCTTGTGGTAGACCAGCCTTCAGTGCGCCAGCAGCAGCAGCAGCCGCGGAAGCAGCAGGCTGCATGGAGATCGTTCGCGCCAGTCGGGAAGTTGGCACCGCCGAAACTTGTGCCAGCTGTGCCTGCTGCTGCTGCTGCTGCTGCTGCTGCTGCTGCTGCTGCTGTATCTCCGCTTGCCGGTGTTGTTGCTGCCACTGCTGCTGCTGCAGCCAAGCATGCTGCCCCTCTGGCCCCTGCCCCCCCTGTCCGTGCACGTCACTCACGTCTCTTCGGAGAGGCGACTTGTGGCCCTCCCTGCCTGGTGCGTGTGACACTATTGAGGGCATGGCGTGTGGAGAGACGGACGATACAGTCACACCATGCGGGCTGAAGTGGCCTTGCATGGTGCCAGGGCTGTAGCCGTGCGGACTGACGTTGCTGTGCGGACTGCTGTGATTGTGGGACCCCAAGTTGCCATGGGGGCTGCTCATGTGGTGCGGGCTCTTGTAATTGTGCGGGCTGGCATGGCTGTGCGGGCTGGCATTGCTGTGCGGGCTGGCATTGCTGTGCGGGCTCACGTGCTTGTGCGGACTGATGCTGTTGAGGGAGTGCAATCCCGGGCCCTGCGCGCTCACCACAGCCGCCAGGCGGCTTAGTGCTGCGTCGTAATGGCCGATGGCTGGGCCCTCTGCCGCCACTGCCTCGCCCTGCCCCCTCGCTGCTCCTCCCAGGGGACTCAACCCCGCATGCATGCTCGCATAGCCAATCCCCTTATGCCACGTGGCGTTCTGCGCATCAGCGACTGGCAAGCCACTGAGCCTGCCCCCGCCACCATGCACTGGCCCGTGCACCCCCCCTCTGGGGCTGCTGCCAGCGCTGCTGCTGAGCGTGGGCGCGGAGAGCACCCCCGCCTCCGAGTCTCCCCCCTCCCCTGTGGGCGGCCGCACGTGAATGTAGATATCGCATGCGCCACCGCCACCAGCACCAGCACCACCAAATGGCGGCTGCAGTCTCGGACTGACACAAGTATTGTAGGCATCCACCATGCCTCCGATGTTGCCATCACCACCATCACCACCATCACCATCACCGCCACCATGCATGATCATGTGAGTCATTGCTGCTGCCACGCCATCCATCACGCCCCCATGGCCCTGCTGCACCTCGCTACTGACATCCTCGCTAGCGGCGTCGTAGTTGTCGCCGCTGACGTCGTCTGCGAGGTAGGAGGAGTCGTCGTCGATCTCCACATCGATGGAGAACCGCATCCGCTGCCGCAGCCCCGCCAGCCCGCCTTGAGCCAGGGCCGGGTGAGGTGGGTCGGTATGGTGAGAGAAGAGCGCCGAGCAGGAAGGTGCAGCGGGCGGGGGCGAGCCCTGCTCGCGGAATGCAGCGCCGCCACCAAACACCCCGCCACTGTCAACCACTGAACCGTAACACGCCGCCTCTCCCATACCCTCTGTGGCCCCCGCCACGCCCCCCCCTGCTGACTCATCCAGTGCCTGCGTGGCGCCGCCGTGTGCCGACGTGGCTTGGTACAGATCCTCCGAGGCAGCATCCCCTTCCACTCCTTGCTCGCCTGACTGGGTGAGCTCGTGATAGAGCGACTGCAAACACGGCGCCTCGGAATATGGCGGCTCCGAATATGGCGGCTCCGAATATGGCGGCTCTGAATATGGCGGCTCTGCAGACGCAAACACACCCTCCTCCCCTTCCCTCCCCGCCTCTTCCTGCTCCTCCTCCCACTCTCCCCTCTCCCCCTCGCCTTCCTCCTCCTCCTCCTCCCACTCCTCGCCTCCCTCCTCCACCTCCCACTCACCCCGCATTTGCAGTTCCCCTGCCCACCCACCATACGTGCCTCCACCTAATCCTCCCTCATCTTCCTCCTCCTCCCTCCCCACCGCCATATCCCCCTCGTCCGCGCTATTCTGCTCGCCAGCGCCATCATCCCATCCCGCCTCCCACGCCTCCCCCTCGCGCGTCACACTGTCGCCGCACTCCCCGTACAAGTCCCCTGACTCCTCCCCCTCCTCCTCTTCTTCCTCCTCCTCCTCCGCCTCTTCCGCCCCGCCTGCTCCTTCCCCCGCCACACTGCCCTCTCCTCCTCGCAACCCCCCCTCCTCCAATCCCTCATTCGCAAACTCTCCCTCCCTCCCGCTGTTTCCATCTCCATCCTCGCTATGATCACCCTCGTTAGTACCACCCTCGTTATCGCAACGCTCCTCCTCCTCGTCGCCGTACAAGTCCCCCTCCCCGTCCGCCAGCGCGCTGCTCTCGCTGCCCTCCGCCCGCCCTCCCCCAACCTCGTCTTCCGCCACCCTAAACCCCCCTTCCACTGCTGCCCAGCCACCCATCCCCACGTCATAGAATTGATTCCCGTCCTCGTTATAACAATCCGCGTTATCTCCACGCGTGCCGTACAGTAATCCATCAGCAGCGGCCGATACACCCACGCCGTACAGGTCAGATTCGGTCTCCTCTTGCTCCTCCTCCTCCGCCGCGTTCGGCGGCGAATGGCGGCGAGCGGGAAGAGAAGCGGCAGCGGGGAGGGAAGCTACGACCTTCCGCGCGAGGCGCGCTAGGTCTCCCCGCATGGCGGCGCCCGAATCAGCTCGCGGGGTCAAGGCGGGCATGTCGACGTTGGCCGCCTTGCGGCTCTTCTTCGCCGCCCCCAGTGACTTGCCTCGCCGCAGCAGCGTGGGGTGCGGCGGCCATTCCGCATGCGAGGCGACCAATGGTTGCTTCTCTTCGAAGCGATCCTCGTCGAACTGGTTCGCCTCCCCGACGGAGTTCCCGAGGTCGGCGAATTCGTTCGGCTCTGCGAAGAAATCGGGCTGCGCGACGGATCGCAGGCTCGAAACGACTCGTCGCGCGATCTCCGCACGGCTCTCAGCGGCGTTTCGAATGCCGGCCATGGGATCGGCGAAGGCAGTACTGATCACCTCCATCTGTCAACAGAAACTAAGAAATGGTTAAAAGACTAGCTCGGTGAGCTAACTAGGGAATCCTCCTGCGAGAATTGTAACAAGTGACTCCCTCCCAGGCTAAAAGAATATCGCCCTTGGTTCTCGGCGTTGACTCACCTCGCACGGCTAGCAGTCAATCGACGATGGACAGAGAGAGAATCGTTCGAACTTTTGTCTCTACGACCCCTGGCTGGCTGGACCCACCCCAGTGAAGTGGGCGAGGAGAGGTGAGGGGGGGCGTGGCGGACTGGAAATTGGACATCGGACCAGGGCTAATTTTTCGTTTTTCAATACCCAGCTGTCTCAGGATTCGTGTCACTAAAGACCCTGAAAATTCAGAATTCCCTGAAAAATATCTCTTTATTTCAGAGTGTTTTTTGGGACTCCATGCATACCAGCGGAACCTGTGGGCACTTCGAGTACAAGAAGGAAGAACATTGATGGAAGAAACGATGAAGAATACAGAACACGCACTTGCTGCTGCTGCTGTTCCTCACCACCACACCGATTTCGACACTTTCCTTGTCAATCGTGACAGAAATGCGTACAACTTAGAGCGACAGTGCGCAACCTGGCTAAGGTTTTATTAAGGGGTTGTGATACGTCTGACAGCCCTGCACTTATGTAGTTGTGAAAGTTCCACGTGTCGCACCTTTCAAGGTTGCGAAGGAATGGGTGGGGGGGAGGAGTTTAGGGTAGGGTTGCAATTCCAGCAAGGGTAGGTTTCCATGCCAGTCGGATGGCCAGGATATTTTTTCGCGCAATCCGGATTGCTCAGAAAGTTCCTTGGAAACGCCCGGAATCAGTCAGGAGGTTTGCAAGTAGGAAACCCTTAGAAATCAGGATTTCAGCGGGAAAGACCCGGAATGTACCTGGCATTCCGGATGTTTACCCTTGAACCGAGAGCCCTGCATCGGACAACCAGTGGCTGTGTGAAGTGTGGCTGGCGGGGAAGGGGGATTTACGCTGTACGGATTGGAGGATTTTGGTTGGCCGTTCATTTCCCCGTGCGACGGTTTGATTGGATGCTGAGCCTATTCGAGGTGGTGCTGTCCAGCTGGTGCTGCCTCCTCTCCCTTCGCCTTGGAGTTCGCAGAGCTGAATGAGTACACCCAGTTTGTCGGGACTCGCAAATGGCTTGTTCGTTCCCGCCCCTGTTCTGCAGTCACGGTACCCCACTGCCCCACTGCTGCACCCCTCTGTGCTGATCTGACACGACACGTCACACGAAACGACGAGAAACCGTCCCTTCCTCCAGGTGGATGCCAGCTGTCGATGTGCTCCAAGACAAGGTGACTGAGACCAATTTAAACCCGTTAGTGGTCTGCCCGATCTCCTTTTCCAGTTGATCTGCCGAATTCTACATGTGTTCCATTTCCTTTAGACAGAAATAACAAGCACCTCAAAATTGTTAAAAAAGGTAAACCAAGAAAACCCAAGGCAATGCTTGCAACAATGGCATGTATGGCATGTATTGCACAGAAAAATGAAAAGCTAGAAGCCTCACCACGTGCAGAGAAATGGCAGCATTCAAACACATTTGTGTACAGCCAATTACGACGTGGAGGGGATGCAATTAGGCATAAGCTGGATGCAACGGTGACTTGGGTTCAGTTACCGGCACTACGAGGGACGGTGAATCTGTGGGGCCAATGGTAGACGACGACGCCGCCATCTCCAGTAGTGAGCCTAATGAAGCGTCAGCGCCAACTCCAAGGGCCCCAGTGACTTGGAGCCGCAGGATGCAATATATAAACGCTGAGATGCCTCCTGTAGGGCCAGACGGGTAGAGCCGAAGATGCAGAGGCGGCTGCAGCCGACTCTTACGTAGAACATGATCCACCAGAGCAGATGCCTCCACCCACCTGCTGCTCAGCTGGGCTGCAGTCGGAGCAGCTGCTGCTCCAGCTGTGCTACTTTTAGTCACACCGTCTGCATTTACTTCATCTTGAGTCACACTTACTAATGTCACATCCTGGCTGCAATCCCGGAGCCTCTTCTCATGGCACAGGAAGAGGACATACTTGCTAGCCCTGCAATAGAACGCCTCTGATTGGTCCAGAGCCGCAGCCACATCAGCTACACGTTTCTGCCACGTGGCACCCTCCAGCTTCTCACAGCCAGCCTCAAGCTCCTCCACGTACTCCCTGTGATACAAGCACGGGTCACGCACGGGGGTGGACGATTGAGGTTTAAAGCAGGGGGGGAGCGAAGCAAGACCACCCTGAAGAAAGCAGGGGGCTGGAGAAGCAGGTGAGCGATGGGTTGGCATGAGGTTTTGCGTGATGGGCAAACTGATAGGGCTGCTGAAAACGCCTGGAAGCCGCAGAGCAGCATAGAGGGGCACGCCATGGAAGGGCAGGGTAGAGCAGCATAGAGGGGCACGCCATGGAAGGGCAGGGTAGAGCAGCATAGAGGGGCACGCCATGGAAGGGCAGGGTAGAGCAGCATAGAGGGGCACGCCATGGAAGGGCAGGGCAGAGCAGCATAGAGGGGCACGCCATGGAAGGGCAGGGCAGAGCGGGCGAATACCGGGCGGCCGTGAGAGCCGGTGAATGCCTGTCTTGCGTTTCTATCTTGCCTCCGAAGTCCATTAGATACACCGGGCCAGTACGCCCGTGCTGCTGCTGCTGCTGCTGCCGCTTCTGCTCCTTGTTCCGCTGCTTCTGCTGCGTCTGCCTCTCAGACTGCTGCCTGCGGTGCTCCTTCTTCACCTCCTTCACCCGCTGCTTCCGCCTCCTCTCCTCCGCCTGCTCTTTCTGCGCATTCTTCTGCTTCTCTTGCTGCGCATTCTGCTGCTTCCCCTTCTGCTGCTGCTGTCGCTCATTCTCCTGCTTCTCACCCTTCTGTCTCCCATTCGCCTGCATCTCACACTGCTGCTGCTGCTGCTGCTGCTGCTGCTGAATTTCTGTCTTTCGGGCCTCAATGCCTGGACCCTGGACTTGTGTACCCTCAACATGTCTCCTGGGCTCCCCTTCTCTCCTTCTCCTGCTCCTTCCTTCCTCCAACCCTCTCCCTGCTCTCCCACCCCTCCTCCCTCCTTCCCCTCCTGTCTCCCCTCTCTCGCCTCCCCTTCTCTCATCATCTCCGCGCTCATTCCCCCTCCCATCCACCGCACCACCGCTCCCCTCATCTTTCCCCGCACCACCGCTTCCGCCCTCCTTCCCCGCGCCACACGCGCACGCGCCATCAGCGCCACACGCACACAGCCCACCCCCGCCAGGAGCAGCGCCACTCGCGTGCTCTGCGCCACTCGCGTGCTCTGCGCCACCGCTGCCATGGCCCTGCTTCTCGCCCCCCTGCTCCTCTCGTTCCCGAACCTCTCGTTCCCGAACCTCTCGTTCCCGACCCTCTCGTTCCCGATCCTCTCGTTCCCGGTCCTCTCGTTCCCGGTCCTCTTGTTCCCGAACCTCTCGTTCTCGATCCTCTCGTTCCCGATCCTCTCGTTCCTGATCCTCTCGTTCCCGATCCTCTCGTTCCTGATCCTCTCGTTCCCGATCCTCTCGTTCCCGATCCTCTCGTTCCCGACCCTCTCGTTCCCGATCCTCTCGTTCCCGATCCTCTCGTTCCCGACCCTCTCGTTCCCGACCCTCTCGTTCCAGAGTCTGCTGCTGCGAATCCCGTGGCAGGCCCTGCTGTCCCCTTACGTCCCGCGGTTTCTTCTTGCTCGCCTCGGCCTGAAACAGAAACAGCAGCCGACCGTCGCCGTCGCAGCGGTAGGGAAGGATGCCCGCCGCGCGATACTCCCTATACACTGCGCGCCAGGCGGCTGAATTAGCCATACTCTACCAGAAATTGTGGCGCGAAGATGGGGTTGCGGATCGGAAGTATTTTGGGGAGGCGAGTACGCGTTGCAGCATTGCGCGTCATGAAGTCTGTACGCCCCCCCTGAAAAATGGTGGGCGATATTTTACTGATATTTGGTACATAAATTAATCCTAAACCAAATACATTCAACATCACAGCCATCGAAAAACATTGGGAGCCACAATCAACATTTCACTTCCAAAATTCCACCATTACTTGCTCAACTCAGGGAAAATAGACGCGGCATCCTTCTTGAGCCATAGGGCCAAGTCCTTGCCGTCCACAGACAGCGCTTGCATGGTGAGCGCACGCATGCTCTTGCCCTTGAGGCCCACCGCCTGCAGCGTGCGCTCCACACTCACAAACAGCTTCGGGAACCTGCCCCGGGGGGCCTCACCTATTGGCTGGTTCTGCATGGGAGAGAATCAGTGCATGGAGTGAGCAATGGTGAGTTCAACATGACAGGCATGCACTAACAGAGAACACAGTGAGCCTTGCATAGCTGCGCGTGAAGCTGGAAACGGAAAGAGTCATGGGAGGAAGTGGATGGTGGTGTGCACATCAGCTCACCTTAGCCCGTGACATCCCTGTAACGATAACCAAGTCGCGCACTAACGAGTCATCGGCTGAGGCCCCAGCAGCAGCAGCAGCAGTGGCAGCTGCATGTGCAGAGGAAGCATCGTCAGAAGCAGCAGCAGCAGCAGCAGCAGCAGGGGCAGTGGTGGCGGCAGCAGGGGCAGCAGAGGCAGTAGTGGCAGTGGAGGCGATGTGCAGCAGGAGGGAGAGCAGCGCGACGGTGGCAATGGGGCGGGTGGAGCCGCGCACGTCACACCTGATGAGGTCACGAGGGAGAGGGATGAGGGGAGAAGAGTCGGGACGACAGGAGAGGAGGGAGAACGAGTACGGGAGGGAGAGGCCAAGACAAGGAGAGGGAGACAGGGGGACCCAAAAAAGGGAGGTGGCACTGATGTAGGGGAGTGTGACAGGATGGAGTGCGGTGAGAATGATTGACAAGAGTGGTGCACGGTACAGATGGGTGACGGAGCATTAACAGCAAGGTAAGAGCAGTACCTGTAGGGATCAGCAAGAGAGAAGTGGGAGAATGTGCCACTGTCTGCTGCCTCTCTGTACACCGCCACCGCTGCTGCCAGGGCTGGCGGGAGACAGGGGGAGGGGGAGTGAGTGGCACACGGGGCATGGTGGGGTGGACGACGACGTGGGGACATGAGAATCTGGGCACGTGAGAGGGGGGTTGAGTGGACGAGACAGTGACGGAGGGATTGGAGGAAAGGCAGAAGTGAGACTTGAGAACCAGGGGTTGAGAGATCGGGGGGAGGAAAGGAGCATGTCCGCATGGAACCCCCCAGGAAGGTACACACGCCGAACAAGCATAGCAACGCCAGGTATTTGCCTACTCACCCGGCGTGAGAGTGAGTCTGCCCCCTCGCTCCACCAGCGCCTTCACCGCCGCATCGGCGCCCTCGCAGCCGAAGCACGCGTCAAAGAGCACCGTGAACGCCGGCAGCGTGGGCGCCAGGGGGTTCTGATCATGAGGAGGGAAAACACAATGAGGAGAGAACGAGGCCGACAGAGAATGAAGGGATGATGGACGAGCGATAGAGGGTCAAAGATCGGGGGTGCACCCATCCCGTGTGTGTGTCCACAACCCCTTCACCGACAAGGTCGCCCCACTCACCTGTCTGCCCCATGCATAAGCTGTGCCGTCGCCGTGCGTCTTCTCCCACTCTTTCGCCCGCCCCTGCATCTCTCTGAGTGTGCCCACGGCGCCCTCCCACAGCCCCGCACGCCCCTGCACGCCCATCAACGCGTGGAACACCGCCGCGTTCGCCACCACACCCTCCCCCTCCAACTCCTGCCGCAGAGCCAGCGCCCGCGCCACGTCCCCGTCCTTGCCGCACGCCCCCACCAGCGTGCCCAAGGTCACCACGTCGGGACGGTGGCCCTCGGCGCGCATCTGGCTGTACAGCTGGTGGGGGCGAGGGGGGGCGGGTGGGGTGGGGGCGAGGGCGGACGCGTCACGCATTGAGAGCATCAGAGGGGAAACCCTGAGAGCATGTGCGCATGCATGCACATGGATGCACACGGATGCACATGGATGCACATGCATGCACATGGATGGGAGCGGGGCCGATGCGTGGTGGGAGGAGCGAGGAGAGAGCACGCATGTGAATGGTGGCAGTGTACGGAAGGGGAGCTCAGCTCAATGCTTCAAGCCCCCCTGAAAGGCCGCGAGGGAACATATACCTGGAATGCGTCACGCCAAGTGTACCTGGAAGGCGGTTTCAGTGGAGGCGGAGGGCGCGGCAGCGGCGGAGTGGATGAGCTTGTTGAAGGTGGACGTGGTGACCGCACGCGTGAAGCCCCTTGAGCGCATCATGTCAAACGCCCTCAACGCGCCCTCGTGGTCGCCCGCCTGCGCGACAGAGAGAAGAGGAGGGGAGGGTGGTGAGCGACACGAGGGGGAGACGGCAGCCCATGACAGCATCATGGCAGGCGGTTTCAACGCCATGTGGGGATGTGAAAGAATGTTGGGAGAGGCAGCACACCACGATGGCACTCTCATACATGCATGGCATGCCAGAGTGCTACCACGTGCTAGCAAGGGGGTTGGTGCTAGCTGGTGTCCACCGTGTGACGCACCTTGGTGCACGCTGTGATAAGCAGGTTGAACGTCTCTGCATTGGGACGAACGTTCTCAGCACCTTCCATTTCGGAGAAGAGGCTCCACGCCCTCACGGCCTGCAGGAGAGGAGAGGAGAGAGGCGAGTGAGGGGATGGAGGAGAAGGGTTAACAGTGGACGTGAAAAGGCAAGTGAAAGAGGGTAAGGGTGCGTGTGCGGACACCAAGTCAGGGAGAGAGATGCTCGGCTAGTGTTGGAGTTCGGAAAGTTACGATGAGGGCGCAATTCAACTCACATCAGGCTTGGCCGCGGTGGCACAGGCGTCGATGAGATAGTTGTAGGTGGACGTGGTGGGGGGGATGCCCGCTGCCCGCATCTCGTTGAACACCTGCCAGGAGAGGAGAGGAGCAGAGAGGAGAGGAAAGGAGCATGAGGAGCAGGGGCACCGTTGAGGGTGTCAGCTGCACACAGAGCAGCACAACGCCCACGCATCTCTCTCCACCCCCACTCACACCTCCCCTCTCACACTGCTCTCTAATATCCTTTTTACACTGCTCCATTATAAAAGCCCCTGCCTCAGACACCCTTCTCTCCCACGCCGCCCCATACCTGCAGAGCCGCAGTCAGCCGCCCGCCGCTGCCGACCGCCTCGAGCAGGATCCCGAACGTGATCTGGTTGGGCGGCACGCCGCCCGCCACCATCATGCCGTACACCTCGAGCACCTTCCCGGGGAGCTTGGCCTGGGCGGCGGCAAACATGAGCGTGTTGAAGGTGATGGCGTCGGGCTGCACGCCGCGCTGCACCATTTCCTTGTACAGCTCCATGGCTCGGTCGAACCTGCATACGCAATGATAGAGAGTGTGAGATTAAAGGGAGTGCGGGGTGAGGCAGTGCGGCAACATGGGCGTGTTGAAGGTACGGCGCCGGGGTGCACCCCCCGCTGAACCATCTTGTAGAAGTCCATGAAAGTGTGGGGCATGGGGCATGGGGCATGGGGCATGGGGCATGGGGCATGGGGCATGGGAGGAGTTGAAGGGTGCATGCATGCATAGTGATGGCGTCTAGAAAAGGGGCGGCTCTACGAGCAGGGAGGAATGCTGGGTGATTGCAGCCACGCAGCACTGCGCTCTTCTTTCCGAAAGGAAGAAGCAGGAAGCAAGGGGGGGGGGAGGGGAGGGGATGGGCTCCTCGTCTTTCTCTCAGGTGTGCTTCACACGTGACTCGCCTCTACCCTAGCCAGCGAGGGGCCTTACCTCTGGGAGGGGGAGGAGCGGCCACGGTACGGCCCAGTCTTGACCACGAGCGCCATGAGCGACGTGTATGTCACCACATCGGGCTTTAAGCCCTGCGCCTCCATGTCCGCCTGGCATTGCGCACGCAGGGCGACACGCGGGCAGACAGGAGGACGGACGGACAGGAGAACAGGAAGGAGTACGGGCAGGGTGAGAGGCGCGGGAGGCATGCACGGCAAGAAGATGTGCGAGGAGGTGCAGCGGGCCGCAGGGAACTCTCTCTCAAGTGGGGTGTGTGAGCTCGTGGCTCTCCCCGCTGAGTCAGTTCCCTCCCTCGCCTCGCTACGCACCTTGAGGCGGAAGGCGTCGTCAAAGCGCTGCGCCTGGTGGCAGCAGGAGACGAGCGTGTTGAAGGTGAGCATGCCCGGCGCGATGCCCGCCTGCCGCATCGCCGCGTACACCAGCAGCGCCCGCTCGCCCTGCCGCTGCCGCCGGCACACCGTGATGAGCGCCTGATACGTGCCTGCATGGTTCGTGGGGGGGGGAGGGCATGGAGAATGCATGGCAGGGGGGCTCAAACCTGCCGCACGCACCAGCAGCGCCCGCTCGCCCTGCCGCTGCCGCCGGCACACCGGGATCGGCGCCTGATACGTGTGTGATGGGAGGGAGGGGGGGGGGATGGAGCGGTTGGGATGGGTGCCTCCCGCACCGATGAGCATACAGCATCGGTACATCTCCCCATTGATGCTTTGAGTGGAAGATGGCGCAGGGAGAAGGGGTGGGTGGAGAAACGAAGAAGGTGGGGGCGAGGGAATGTGCTCCACTTGCTCATGGAAAGTTTTGGTGCGTCCCTGCGCTCTCGTTTCATACGAGCACTACTCGCAAACCTGCACTCATATATTACACCGAATCGGCTGGACCAGAAACTTGGTTCTTTTACTTGATCTGTCTCATCCCGAACACAGCCCACCCCTGCCACGCGGCGTACCCTCATTGGCGGCGTTGAGCCCCTTGGCCTTCATCTCCTCCACCACGGCCAGCGCCTCTCGCACCGACGAGCAGCGCGCGATGGTGCGGTTGATGCGCGTCAACGTGCGCTGCGAGGTCACGAGAGGGGAGAGCGAAGGGGAGAGGGAAGACGTGAGGAGGTTGACGCTCAGCCCAGAGCATTTTGCATGGAATGCCAGAATTTTGCAGCCATGGCAGCAAGCGCCAGTGCAGCCATGCTGCCATCACACCAGCGCAGCAGTATGCGTGGCAGCACCACACCCCCCACAACCACAACCCCCACCAACCGCACCTCGGAGTCGAGCATGACCCCTTCGTCCGCCAGCCACGCCAGCTTGTTCGTCCGCATGCCCGCTGCCTCCTGCGCGTTGCACGGGGCAGGCATGGGCAGGGAGAGGGAGAGGGAGGGAGAGAGGCAAGGTGAGGAGAGAGGAAGTGCCAAAACTACTTTCTTGTAACGGGTACAGCATTGACGCGCTGCGACCCTAACACTCGTTGCATTCCAACCTCCTTCCACGTTAACCCACCCACCCACCCACCCCTCCACCCGCCCACTCGCTCACCTCGCCCTCCGGGTCCCCCCCATCGCCCCCCTTCCGCCGCTGCACTCTTTGCCGTCCGCCCGACTTCCCACGCCCCTTGCGCACTTGCGCCTGGGGCCCCTCCGCTGCTGGCGCCTCCCCCTCCGCCTCGGCCACCGCTGCTGACGTCAGTACTGCTGACATTGGCGCAGCAACGCCGCTGATTGGCGAGAGGAGGGAGGGGAGTGGAAAAACGCGGAATTCAGCGGCCGCGAGAGGTGAAGGGGACTTGGAGGGCAGCGGGGAGTAGCGGGACTAGGAGAAGAATACTGCGGGCGAGATATTTTCAAGGTAGGCGGAGGGTGAAGGGCGGAGGGTGAAGGGCGGAGGGTGAAGGGCGGAGGGTGAGAGGAAGGAAGAGAGCGGAGAGCTAGTGGGTGGTAGAGGGTGCGCCATGCTCATACCGGGTAATGCTGGGCCATTCCACCAGCCCACCGTCGCACGATTCAAACCCGCCTAAGATAATAATCCCACCATCCCACGTCCTCACCTGGCGTTGGCGTTACGAGCGCGCCGAGCACGGCGCGCGCCTTGGGGCAGCAGAAGACGCTGGTAGGGGGGGAGCGGCAGGGGCAGGGGCAGGGATAGGGACACGGGGTGAGCAGAGAGCCAGGAAAGGGAGAAAAAACGGGAGGCGGGGGAGCATAGATCGGATTAGGAACGAGCGAGAAACGCAAGGAGCAAGAGGCGGAGGAACACGTGGAGCGCGCGGAATGGCGAGCTCGAGATGGCTCTGCCAGGAGCGTCGCTCACGGTGTGTCATCGTGCGTCGCTCATGGTGCGTCGCTCATCGTGCGTCGCTCATGGTGCGCGTCAGTCTACCTGCGCGATCTGCTGCGACGAGAGGATGCTTGCGCCGCGCGCCAGCACGGCGTGGCTGGAAGCGCCGGGCGGCAGAGTGGATAGCGCCGCTGCTGCCATGATCGCTGACGGCTCTCAACGCGTACGAGATGACCGCACTGAGCCGCAATGCGCTCCTCCTCGTCTAGCGACAGCGACTGCGTGAACGTTAGGCGGAACGAGGGTGGCTGAGGAGAATGGCAGCGGCAGCAGAGGCGGCAGTAGGAACTCAGATGTCTTGAATATGACGAGAGCGATTCCAGGAGCATTAGATTGCTTAGTGGGCGTGAGGTGGAGTAAGGTAGGGACTAGAATCACTAGATATGACTGACCCCCTGAGAGGAAGTCAAAGAATGGATCGGCTCGGAACCACTCTGAACCGCATTCTTTCGAACCGCCAGTGTGGCGGAATGGATTGAATGGCGGCAAGTGTGCGTGGTGTCGTCGCACACCAACTGCCACTAGCGAGAGAAACTTCCCTGCGGAATCCACGTCATTCGGCTGGTGGATTGGCCGAATGGGAGATCTGTCGGGCCCGCCTGGACACGCGGACGTCAGAGACATGAAAAGTCACGTGGATAAAAGTCTGCGTGGCAGCGGGGAGCCGATTTGGCGACAGTGTGTGAGGCTGATGTGCTGCCACGGTACGGAGCCCTGGCCTGGCGATGGAGTTCGCAGACGGCTGAGGCGAAACCTTTCACAAGTAACTGAAGTCTGCGAAAGTACGGGTGCCGAGCCAAGGAGCGGGATTGTTCGCTATAGCATGAACACCGAAACGTCTGCAGCAACACTTTTCCGCGCGCCACCTGCAATACAGTACACCGAAGTCCCCCTCCCTTCTCATTATTCTTGCGCGTCGTGAGGCGAGTTGTGAACCTTACCAGTGGACCCGTCTCTCGCCATCAGCCTGGGAGAAAGCACAGCAACCTCGCCAGAACGAGCTCCAGTCGCTGCTTTTGAGGCATGGAGCTGCGAATAGTGCAGTCCACGGCTATCCCCGCTAAGGCCGCTGACTCCGTCGCAGTCCCCTCGACTGACGCAGGAGCGGCGCCGCACTCGCAGCACGCGGCGATCACGCCGCCTGAAGCGGCAGCTCTCGTGCCCGACGAGGACTTTTCGGACCTTGAAGAGACGCGCGTAGGTTCCTAGCAGCTTCGCGCTCGCCGCCGCCACGCCCCGCCGTCCCCGTTCATCTCCCTCTCTCCCCCGTCGGCCGCACCTCGGTCATCAGTTCCCCCGACTTCCGTCTCGCGCCTCCCCGTTGCGCTGAATGGCATTTTGTGGCCTTGGCTGCGCCGTGCTCTCGTCGCGTCGTCCTTCCCCGCTCACTCGTGAGTCGGCTCAGACACTCCTATCTCTTCCCCTCCTCCCCCGCCCCCCTGCTCAACGGCCCCCCGCCCGCCATGGTTGCGCAGTTCTGGGAGGACGAGGGCGAGGACGTGGAGGGCCGCATCGTCGTTAGAATCGTCGGCAAATACCTCCCAGGTGCCGCCCAACCTCCCAGGTGCCTCCCAACCTCCCAGGTGCCGCTGCTGCCTCCCACCCTCCCAGGTGCCATCCGTGCCTCTGACCTCCTGTCCTTTGTGCGCTCACGCCCCTCTGCTTGTGCGCTCACGCCCCTCTGCTTGTGCGCTCACGCCCCTCTGCTTGTGTGCTCATGTGCCCCTCATCGCTCCTCGCCCCCCCCATCGCACTTAATCCTATCGTACTCTCCTCCCCCCTGCTCGTCTGTCCCCTCCCTCCCCCCCCCTCTCCCCCCATCCTCCTTCCAACAGCTCACGTATTCCCCTCAGACCACGTGGAGCGCTACATTCACCACAAGCTACACGAGCTCTTCTCATTGGCTGGCGCCGACCGCCACGTCAGCATCCTGTACATCCACACGGAGTGCGAGGCCCTCAACGACAACCCCCTCGCCCTCCTCTCCTTCCGAACCATCTTCCATGGCCTTGCCCCGAACCTCCGGCTGAGGGTCGGTGCGGTGTACATCCTCCACCCAAGCCTCACTCTCAGGCTCGGGCTCTGGCTGCTGTCACCATGGCTCAGTGACAGGTGAGAGGGGATAGGATGGTGGGCAGGGGCCGAGTCATTATTGCAGGTGGGTTGACATTCCTGATGGCACCCCTGCAAGGACGCAACCGCAAGCTGGAGTCTCATCCTCTTCTCCCCAACCCCCCTCCTTCCTTCCCCACTACCACCCCCGCGCCCTTCCTGCCTCACTACTCTCCCCCCCCCTCCCCCCCTACCAGCATCTACTCGCGTGTGGCGTTCATGAGCCGCGTTGAGTTCCTCGCAGACCACATCCCTCTGGACGAGGTGGACCTGCCTGCCTTCTGCCTGGAGCACGACCGCAAGCTGGAGGCGCACCCCCTGCTGGACTACGGCTTCCAGCTAGACAGGGCTGCAGCCACCCAGCACCTGCCACTGGGGCTGTAGCGGCTGTAGCTGCTGTAGCTGTTGTAGCTGTTGCAGCTGTTGCAGCTGCTGCAGCAGCTGTAGCCTTTATACGGTAGTGTCCCCCCTCCTGCCACACTCCTGCCAGAGGTGTTGAGGATGTTGCATCTGCGGTATGTCAGCTGTAGCCAGGTGGCAATGCCGCAATGTACAGAAGCTGACTTGTTATAATACTGCTCAACCATAGGCATCAATAACCACATAACCTCCGCCGGCTTGATTTGCACAGGAGGCAGCAAAAGTTATTAGTAGATAGTGTAGACTGTGCATGGTTGCTGGCTTCCACGGGCACTAGATAAACCGCAGGCCAGCAATGCGGACATGGCGTGAGATGAGCAACTGCAGAAAGGCGTACACCAACCCCAGCACCCCCACCACCCGCACCGCCGGCGTCTCCCCCGGTGCCACCACGGCCGGCACACATAACGGCGCCACCAGCAGCAGAAGGTACCCGGCGCGCAGCACATTGTCCCACATGAAGCGGTTGAACACCACATGCATGGGAACGCACAGCAGCACCATGGCCACGCTCCATGCCATCTGCGTTACGTTGTACCCCAGCGACACCCAGCTCCACCCCCAGTAATAGATGGATGTGGCGACTTCAGCCAAGACTGTGCCGAGCACCGAGACGATGAGGTACGCGGAACACGCCAGGGTGAGCGGGAAGTAGCGCTGGCGGTCGGAGAAGGAGGCGAGGAAGTTGAGGTCGGGGTTGAGGAGGAGGAGGATGGGCGCGATGAGGAAGATGGCTTGCTGGTCGCTCTCGTGCTGCCCCAGCACCGCCAGCAGGCCGAGGGCCAGCAGGAAGGAGAAGAGAGTGGAGAGGTTGCCCACCAGCGGCAGCCACGAGGAGCGCGAGGTGAAGGCGGCTAGCAGGTTCAGCTGCCGGGGCTGGGGGAGGGGAAGGGGAGGATGGGGGGAGTGGAGCAGATGATGGGAAGACGAAGCACCGTTAGAGGCGGCATGAGGGTGGATGGCAGACATGTTCAGTCGTGAGGCTGAGGCAGAGAAAGCAAAGGATGGGGAGGGCGAGGACAATGGCTGCGAGAGGGTACCTGAAACGACCGGTGCTTGGGGGCAAACGGCGAGGTCTTGGGAAGAGCGGAGCCGCCATTAGCAGCTGAAACCAGCCCGCCGTCGGAGGAGGAGGAGAGGGCAGAGGCGCCACTAGTGGAGGGGCGGCCTGAGAGCTTGTCCCTGAGGGCAGCAGAGAGCTTGAGCTTGATGACGAGCGCTGCCAGCAGGAAGAAGACGCAGTAGATGGCGCAGAGCGCAGTGTGCGCTGACTGCGCGGGGAGGGCGATCAGGAGGGCGATCAGGAGGGCCATGGGGAAGGCATCGGAGGGGAGGCAAAAAACGGCTGTGAGGTGCGTCACATCCAAAGACCTCACTTAGAACCCCGTGCAATCTGCATTCTCAGCCACACCAGCTGCAGGCGCATCATGGCACATCATGGCGCATCATGGCGCATCATGGCACATCATGGCACATCATGGCACATCATGGCACATCATGGCACATCATGGCACATCATGGCGCATCATGGCACATCATGGCACATCATGGCACATCATGGCCCATCATGGCGCATCATGGCGCATCATGGCGCATCATGGCACATCATGGCGCATCATGGCACATCATGGCACATCATGGCAGATCATGGCGCATCATGGCACATCATGGCGCATCATGGCACATCATGGCGCATCATGGCACATCATGGCACGTCATGGCGCATCACGGCTCCCCACAAGTGCTCACCTCCCTCCTTGTGTCATCATAGAAGTCGTACGTCTTGGTGGCCTCCCCATCCTCCCCCTGCACCTCCACCTCCCCCGCGCGTCCCACCGCCAGGTACGTGAGCGGCAGCAGCGCCGCCTGCACGGCAAACAGCCACGGCAGCACGGGCGAGTGCCCCGACGCCCACGCGGGCGGGTGGTGCGTCAGCACCAGGAACAGCGCGCCCGCAACGGCAGCCGCAAAGAGGAGGGTACGCGGGAGCAGCGGCATGTAGAGGAAGAACTTGGCCTGGAGGTAGATGCCAGTTGCCACCCCGATGGAGAGCGCGTAGCCCACGCGCACAGGCTCCACGTCAGCCACGGGGATGGCGTGGAAGAAGGCGGCGAGCGCGGTGAGAATGGTGCCGAGGAGCAGCCAGCCGGGCCACGCGGGGCCGTCGGTGCGCTGGCCGTAGATGGTGCTGTCGTCGGGGTCGTCCTCGGGGAAGTGCGCCGCGTCCCACACCGCGTGCCACGCTGCTGGAAGCGGCGGCTCCAAGCACATAAAAAGGAGCACGCCTGCTGCTGCTAGCGCTGCTGTGCGGCGGGCAGACTGGGAAGGGAGGAGGGGGAGGGGTGGAGAATGAGGATGGGAGAAGGGAGAGGGGGAAGGGGGGCAGGTGGGTAGGTGAGGGGAGAGAAGGCGGACGGCGGAGACGACAAGTGCAGGAAGGGGGCTGTCCCAGCAGATGGTGGTGTCGTCAGGGTCGTCTCGGGGAAGTGCGCCGCGTCCCACACCGTGTACTAGGCAGAGGAGGGGGAGAGGAGTTGGTGAGTTGAGGAGGTGGTTAGGTGGAGGAGGGGAGATGGAAGTGGGCAGGGGAGGGGAGGGAGGCGAGGGGGGGGAGGAGGAAGAGATGGAGTGGAATGGAGAGAGGGGAATGGAGAGAGGGGAATGGGTATACGGGGGAAACGATGTGCGCAAGACAGGTAAGCTTTCTCATGGCAGGTGGTGAATGGGGGGGACTGAACTGCGAGTGGAGAGTTCGAATTGCAGAGGCAAAGAACAAAGTGAGAGGAATCCAACAGGGGAGCACACAAGTGGCTGAGAGCTGACCAAGGAGTTGGGAAAGTGCAGGAAGAGGATGGGCAGGCAGGCAGCGATGACAGCCAGCAGCAGCGCGCCGATGAGCAGCGCGTGGGAGGGCTTGTGCCCCGTGAGCGAGACAATGACGTCAAAGAGCATGAAGCGAGTGTGGACCACTGCTGCTGCCGCCACCGCTGCATGCGCCACCGCCACCCACGGCCGCATACGCGAGCGAGGATGGGATTTGTCCCTGCGAAGGGAAACAGAGCAAGGGAGATAATACACGATGTTATTGAAAAGAGCGCCAGCAGGAATATACTGCAGCGGCCGCCAAGGCTGGATGCACTACTGCCACCCATGGACTCAGGGTTTCGGGTTTAGGGCAAGAAGAGAGACGCGACTTATCCCTCACAGTAGAGGGGCAGGTAAGGCTCGCACCAAAGAGCAACGCGCAAAGCACATGACGCGCATCGATGACTGTAGCCGCCACAAGGGGGAACACACGGGGAATGAGCGAGGCAGGGGAGAGGGGTGATTGGATGGTTGAGTGGGCGGTTATTTGGCGGTTGAGTGGGCTCAACCATGCACCCACTGACCCATTCACCCACTGACCCGTTCACCCACTGACCCACTCACCCGCTGACCCACTCACCCACTGACCCACTCACCCACTGACCCATTCACCCGCTGACCCACTCACCCACTGACCCATTCACCAACTCACCCACTCAAAGGTTTTGGCGAATGGTTTTGGCGAAAGGTTTTGGCTAAAGGTTTTGGCGAATGGATTGGCGAATGGTTTTGGCAAGGGTTTTGGCGAATGGTTTGGCGAATGGTTTTGGCGAATGGTTGTGGCGAAAGGTTTTGGCGAATGGTTTGGCGAATGGTTTGGCAAATGGTTTTGGCGAATGGTTTTGGCGAAAGGTTTTGGCGAATGGTTTGGCGAATGATTTTGGCCAATGGTTTGGCCAATGATTTGGCGAATGGTTAGGTGAATGGTTGTGCGAATGGTTGTCAAGGGTTTTGGCGAAAGGTGTTGGCAAATGGTTTTGGCGAATAGTTTGGCGAATGATTTTGGCGAATGGTTTGGCCAATGGTTTGGCGAATGGTTTTGGTGAATGCTTTTTGGCGAATGGTTTGGCAAATGGTTTTGGCGAATGGTTTTGGCAAGGGTTTTGGCGAAAGGTTTTGGCGAATGGTTGTGGCGAGAGGTTTTGGCGAATGGTTTGGCGAATGATTTTGGCGAATGGTCTGGCGAATGGTTTTGGTGAATGGTTTTGGCGATTGGTTTTGGCGATTCAATATGCGAATGACCCATTTACCCACTGACCCATTCACCCACTCACCCATTCACCCACTGACCCATTCACCCACTCACCCATTCACCCACTGACCCATTCACCCACTGACCCATTCACCCACTCACCCACTCAAAGGTTTTGGCGAATGGTTTTTGGCGAAAGGTTTTGGCAAAAGGTTTTGGCAAAAGGTTTTGGCGAAAGGTTTTGGGGAAAGGTGTTGGCGAATGGTTTGGAGAATGGTTTTGGCGAATGGTTTTCGCGAAAGGTTTCGGTGAAAGGCTTTGGCAAAAGGTTTTGGCAAAAGGTTTTGGCGAAAGGTTTTGGCGAAAGGTTTTGGCAAATGGTTTGGAGAATGGTTTTGGCGAAAGGTTTCGCCGAAAGGATTTGGCGAAAGGTTTTGGCGAAAGGTTTTGGCCAATGGTTTTGGCGAAAGGTTTTGGCGAAAGGGTTTGGCGAATGCCTTTGGCGAATGGTTTTGACCAAAGGGTTTGGTGAATGGTTTTGGCGAAAGGTTTTTGCCAATGCCTTCGGCGAATGGTTTGGCAAATGGTTTTGACGAGTGGTTTTGGCGAAAGGTTTTGGCGAATGGATTTGGCGAATGGTTTTGGCGAAAGGTTTTGGCGGAAGGTTTTGACGAATGGTTTGGTGAATGGTTTTGGCGAAAGGTTTTGGCGAATGGTTTTGGCGAATGGTTTTGACGAATGGTTTTGGCGAAAGGTTTCGGTGAAAGGTTTTGGCGAAAGGTTTGGGCACATGGTTTTGGCGAATGGTTTTGGCGAAAGGCTTTGACGAATGGTTTTGACGAATGGATTTGGCGAAAGATTTTGGTGGAAGGTTTTGGCGAATGGTTTTGTGATGACTTCCGAAGTGTTTGTGATGATTTTCGCAGGTGAGGTGCAGACAGGTGGAGAGCGTTGAGTGGATTTTCCATCGACCACATATGGCAACTTTTAAGCAACGCAAATCTCACTATCACCTCCCCCCACCGCACCCCCGCCCCTGCCCACACTCACACTCACAGAGACGCACACAGAGCACCCACTCACCTGTAGAGGAAGAAGGGCGGAGTGACGGCGAGCAGCAGCAGCTGCGAGGAGAGAGTGACCCCGGGCGACGACACCAGCAGCATGGGCAGCTTTGCGCCGTACAGACAGCACGCCACCCACTCCGCCAGTGGGCCTATCTTGTGCTCCGCTCTCAGCCGCCGCACAGCTACGAACCCCGCAACTGTGGTGGTTACCACCAGGTAGCTCGGGTACACGCCTTCCTCTGCATGCCCATCCCCGTTATAGAGAATGCTCTCGAGCCTGTGGGTGGTGGCAGTGGTGAAGTGGGAATAGGAAGGCTGGTGAGATGGGGAATGAGAGTGAATGGACGAGGTGAGGATCAAGAGGCTAGAAGGGAGAGACCAGGCAGTCAGGGGAGAGGGATACATTTCACGGTAATTGCATTTAACCACCAGAGGCGGAAGGAAACGAACCTTCCAGACGCTACATACACATGCACTCACCCTACACAAAGACCACCGCCTGCAGCACCACAAGCACTCCAGCCAACCTCTGGGGTTTGTGCAGCAGCGCCGCCCCCGGCACGAGCAGCGCGAACAGCAGCACTCCGAGCCACTGGCTTTTGAGTCGACTCAAAAGCCACATTCACTCACCATCCAAAGACCACCGCCTGCAGCACCACGAGCACTCCTGCCACCCTCTGCGGCTTGTGCAGCAGCACGGCCCCCGGCACGAGCAGCGCGAGCAGCAGCGCGCCCAGCACCCACTGGCAGATGGTGCGCAGCGGGAAGCCGGCGATGGAGAGGGCGAGGAAGAAGAAGTGGTCCATCACGAACCACGTGGCTGAGAGCGCCGCCGCTGCTGCAAAGATGAGGTACGAGGACAGGCTGCCCGACGTGTAGAAGTGCGCCAGGTACACCGCTGCTATGGCGGGCGCTGGAAGCATCTGAGGAGAAGGGGCGAGGGGTTATGATGTCAGGGTTATGATGTAAGGGTTATGATGTAAGGGTTATGATGTCAGGGTTATGATGTAAGGGTTATGATGTAAGGGTTATGATGTCAGGGTTATGATGTAAGGGTTATGATGTAAGGGTTATGATGTAAGGGTTATGATGTAAGGGTTATGATGTAAGGGTTATGATGTAAGGGTTATGATGTAAGGGTTATGATGTAAGGGTTATGATGTAAGGGTTATGATGTAAGGGTTATGATGTAAGGGTTATGATGTAAGGGTTATGATGTAAGGGTTATGATGTAAGGGTTATGATGTCAGGGTTATGATGTCAGGGTTATGATGTAAGGGTTATGATGTAAGGGTTATGATGTAAGGGTTATGATGTAAGGGTTATGATGTAAGGGTTATGATGTAAGGGTTATGATGTAAGGGTTATGATGTAAGGGTTATGATGTCAGGGTTATGATGTAAGGGTTATGATGTCAGGGTTATGATGTAAGGGTTATGATGTCAGGGTTATGATGTAAGGGTTATGATGTAAGGGTTATGATGTCAGGGTTATGATGTAAGGGTTATGATGTAAGGGTTATGATGTAAGGGTTATGATGTAAGGGTTATGATGTAAGGGTTATGATGTAAGGGTTATGATGTAAGGGTTATGATGTAAGGGTTATGATGTAAGGGTTATGATGTAAGGGTTATGATGTAAGGGTTATGATGTAAGGGTTATGATGTAAGGGTTATGATGTCAGGGTTATGATGTCAGGGTTATGATGTAAGGGTTATGATGTAAGGGTTATGATGTAAGGGTTATGATGTAAGGGTTATGATGTAAGGGTTATGATGTAAGGGTTATGATGTAAGGGTTATGATGTAAGGGTTATGATGTCAGGGTTATGATGTAAGGGTTATGATGTAAGGGTTATGATGTAAGGGTTATGATGTAAGGGTTATGATGTAAGGGTTATGATGTCAGGGTTATGATGTAAGGGTTATGATGTAAGGGTTATGATGTAAGGGTTATGATGTAAGGGTTATGATGTAAGGGTTATGATGTAAGGGTTATGATGTAAGGGTTATGATGTAAGGGTTATGATGTAAGGGTTATGATGTAAGGGTTATGATGTAAGGGTTATGATGTAAGGGTTATGATGTAAGGGTTATGATGTAAGGGTTATGATGTAAGGGTTATGATGTAAGGGTACGGGGCGGGGAGATGGGGGGACGACATGGAGTGAGGGAGATAGAGGAGAGGCTGGCGGTGGAATAGAATTGAGATAGATAGCTGGTGGTATGGTTGGCCATGCAAGCATCTGGAGAGTGAGGTGCATGGCAGCAGGGGGATGGGGTTTGAGGGGGGGAGGGGAGGGGTGAGGGGGAAGGACAAGGGATGGAGTGATGGAGACGGCTGCTGCCTGAGGAGTACACTCGCATGGCACGTGCACTGAGAGGGTTCTTGAAACGGCAGGGAGACTTACAGTAAGAGGCATGCCGAGCACCAGTGATGCCGCCACAGCGGACACGAGCAGCACAGCCATGACGGCGGACGTGCCAACGACGCCCCTGAGCAGCCCCAGGAGGTGCGCGGCGAAGCCAAAGGCGAGGCCAAACAGGGCGACGGTGACGAGCAGGTAATTGAGGGGCGGCGGGAAGTGGATGTAGTGCGCGAAGGAGGCGAAGATGATGCGCACCTCCACGCACACCAGCACGACCGCCAGAGAAAAGGCGCCGTTCACAATGCGCACCTGGAGAGCAGGCAGGAGGAAGAGCAGGAGGGAGATGAGGGACGGCACGAAGGGAGATGAGGGACGGCACGAAAGGAAACGGGAGGGGAAGCGAGCAAGTGGTGAGACATGATTGGGAGGCAGTGCAGTGCAGTGCAGTGCAGTGCAGTGCAGTGCAGTGCAGGGTGTAGGGGCGCACAACAGAGCGCCAGAAGACACCCATCCGCCCATCACCCTTCCCTCCGCAATCAAGCAAGCCCTTCATCCCACCCACGCCCCCTCCACGTGTCCCATGCACGTCCCCTGCAAGTCCCCTGCACCGCACCGCCCCTGCATGCACCCTGCACCCCCTCGTTGCAGCTTGCTGGGGTCGGTGACGAGCCAGTGCAGCGCGGCTCTGGTGTCGCTAGACACGATAGGGGATGAGCGACACCTGATCCCCCCATGCCTTCCCCCCCCACAACCCACCCGTTGCAGCTTGTTGTGGTCTGTGACGAGCCAGTGCAGCGCGCCTCTGGAGGATTTCGAGCAGACCCAAAACCGTGCATCATGCTACGAGCCGTGCCTCACTCCCTGAACCCCTCCCCCCCCACCCAACCCACCCGTTGCAGCTTGCTGGGGTCGGTGACGAGCCAGTGCAGCGCGCCTCTGGAGGAGGCGAGCAGCAGGAAGAGCACGGGCAGGAAGAGGAGCAGCAGATCGTCGCAGATGTCGCCCGCCGACTCCAACCAACGGTTGCGATGCACCGCCACGTGGAACGCCAGCGGCAGGAAGAGCAGCACGAGTGCGTGAACCGCGCTCTCCAGCGGCCCCAGAATGAACACGTCATCATCGGATTCCCTGCCCCGGATTCGCGGATGGTGCTTCGCGGCGCGGAAGGAGGAGGGGGTGGGGAGCGAGAAGAGCCAGAAGAGGGTGAAGAGCACCGGAACCAGGTAGTAGGGCGCGCGCACCACGCCCACCGACGCGACGAGGCCCCAGGTGACGATGGCGACCGTGGTGATGGGCGTGCACGCGAAGACGAGGCGCTCGAGCGTGAGGACGACGAAGGGGTGCTCGAGCTGCAGCCAGCGGAACTGCAGCGACACCCACACGCCGCAGAGGAACACGAGGTTCATGGAGGAAAGCAGCACGAGGAGGGAGAGAGGGACGGGCACGTGCGGGGCGAAGCCCACCCCGGAGAAGGCTATGGCGGCGGCGGTGGTGAGGAAGGACACCCAGATGGCGACGAAGGCGCCGGACTTGAACTGCAGCGCGTCGAGGATGTACGACAGCATGAGCCCCGCGATCAGCGTGCCCACGACGACGGGGCCTCCCGCGCCCAGCAGCACCAGCACGCACGGCACCAGCGCCGAGGCCACTCGCGCGTTGTACTGGAACGGGTGCGGGACGAACCGGCCATCGCCGGCCGACGCCGTCGCTCCTGACGGAGACGGTGATGGAGACGGGACGGGAAGCGGTCGACGAGGCTGGCCAGGGGAGGCGTGGGATGGCGGAACTCCCGAGGGAGCGCGCGCGTACATCATCGTAACGTGAATGGTGCCAGGATCGGTCCTCTGTTCATAAGCGGTAGGCGAGACTACTGTGCCTGGTCGTGAACTCGGACAGTCCGCATCGGTACTATACCCCGAGACTACGGCAACTAATTCTGAACTGTCGCAATTCCATTTCAATAACGTTCAGTTACTATCCTGGCAGCGCTGGTCACAGATGAGAATTCGAACGAAATCAGGTCCCCGATCAGGACGGTCGTCTGCCAGAGATAATCAGCTCGTTGCTACTTTCATTTCTCTGTCGGCGTGAAGCTATCTGGTGGGGTACACCGCGGCGCGATCGATGCAAGTCGATGGAATGGCCGATCAAGACTGCACACGATCATTCGACCAGGAGCACTGCATAAATGTAGCATCAGATTTGCAGTCAGTGTCACCACACTTCGTGTCATTGATAACAAGCTAAGCCAGTGCCTTTCCCGCCTGATTTCTGCCAACAACGAGCTCAACCTGCTCTTTGGTAACCCACTGCACTATACTCTGCTGTGCAGTGAAGAACCGCAGCCAAACCCCTGATTGCTGATAAAAGAGCACAATATCAGCTAAAAACCATTTTGAAGTCTCAATACTCAAGACTCAGCTTAACAGCAGACCAAAAGTGCAAAACCTTACACAAGCACCCGACACTCAACACACGTTTCCAGCTTTATTAGTGTTGGAAATATCTCAAGGACTTAAGCGTTTCTGAAGTGTAACACTGTACTCGAGGAAGATTACAGGGGAGCACGCGAGTCAACGGAGGTTACACGAGGGGGCGGACAAAGAATGCGAAAGGACTCGAAAGGTCGCAACTGGAGGTTGCGACTGACCGTTACAACATCACGGATGGTAACCGAAGCGGCAATCGAGTCGCTGTGCGACTCGATAAACCGTTCCTGTAACTGTATTCTACAACTGCTTTCTTATCTACTATATATTGCTGTATGCTTGTTTCTTTAATCAATCACTTGTTCTCACATACTAGTACAAGGGTTCAACTGCCTCAACTTCCGCTGCACTACTCCAAGTCTCAAGTCTTTACAGCTGGGACTTAGTCTCTGCAAAAGATCCTAAAGGGTTTTTCTCAGCCCAACATGGTATGAGAGCTGGTCAGAGACCAAACTCCCAGCAACTACGTCCTATCAACAACCTGCAACTCAACTCAATTCAACGACTTCATTGATTACAAGACATGGACAACAAGGGCAAGAAAGTCTCTACGGGCTCACCCAGCGCCCAAGAAACTCAACACGGCAACTCTGGTCTGCACACCTCAGGACTGCAGACAGAGACCGGGATTGCTCAAGAAACAACGGGAAGAGTACCAGAGATGGTGACCCCGTCTCCCTCTTCAAGTGTGGACCCGAATCTCATGGAGAGATTCTTCAGCTTCATGTCACACTTCGATCAGCAGCAGCAGACAAGGACACCTGCGCACTCAACACAGAGCAATGGAGGGAATATGGGATTAGCGCCGATGAGCCTCGACAACTCATCCTTCGGGCGACACAATCAAGCGCCTACCTTTGCGCCTTATCATTCTTCGCCGGGGACGTTCGAATTCATGCCGCCCCGTGCCCAGCCAACAACAGCTGCTTCACAACAAACACCGAATGAAATCTTAAGTTTACAGGCGCAGTTCTCACACGTGATCAAACTTCAGACATCCTCACCGTTCAACGGACACGACTTCTTTACCTGGAGCTTCGAGTTCGAGCTGCTGATGGAGGCCGCGCATCTTCTGGGATACTTCAACGGGTCCCTGCCATTCCCAAGCAACGGCACTGGGAAGGAACAAGAGATCTTCACGTATCAGTCGCTGCTGGCGTACACGGTACTCCTGAGAAACCTGTCACCACAAGAGCAGCAGAGCATCAGAACGTATCGGAGTTATGGAAACTCCGCGGAGCTCGCATGGCACCACCTCAAATGCCTTTACCAAGCAAACGACAGCGTGACACAAAGCAGACTCATGCAACAGCTGACAACAATACAGATGAAGACCGGAGAAAAGGCGATGCAGTATATGAGTCGCTGCCAGACCCTCCGCGACCGCCTGCTTCGGTGCGGAGGAACGATCACTGAAGAAAGCTTCGTGACACTTGTCCTCGCCGGGCTCGGGCCAGAATGGAGAACCACACGATCACTTCTTCGAGCCCACGGAAGAATTTCGGAGATGCACCTCTGCGCCGAGCTTCACGCTGAACAACAGGAGATGGATCTGTTCGAGGAAAGACAACCAAGGAAGCAACAGCAGTTAGTCTTCTACACTCAAAGAAGAAATGACAACAACTACAACCGACGCAGCAAGCAAGATCAACGTGACAACCGAGGACTCACCATCGTGCCGCCGTTCTGCCACAACTGTCAGACTTCTGGGCACTCCAAGGTCAACTGCAACCGCCCTCGCGTTTACCGTGCAGCAGACCCACAAGTCGCTTCCACTCAAGCAAGTCCTCCAAGGCGCTCTTCAACATCTGCACAACAAACACCCAACATCATCAACTGCATGGTACACATCGACAACTGCGCACCCGCTTCACCACCCACTTACGCACCAGACGAAGAGGAATTCCCGCCGCCGCGCTCGCAAGGACTTCAGGTCAACCCGACATACGCTGCAGTCGCTAACGCCGAACCCACCGGGCGGAACACCTGGTTCTTGGACAGTTGCTGCGGTCAGCACATGTGCTCCTCCGGACGCTTCGTACAACACGAGCGACGCCTCAACCGTGACGTCGTCATCACCGTCGCCAACAACGAAAACCTGAAAACAAATAGACAAGGCGTGGTTCAGTTACAATCAATGGAGACAAACGTTATTCTTCAGCTCAACAAGGTCCTCATCGTCGACAATCTGGGATACAACCTATTAAGCGTAAGCCAACTAATGGCTAAGGGGATTCACCTGGAGTGCGACTCCTTCTCCAACGAGTTCCGACTTTACCACGGGAAGGGCGGTCTCTTCATCGGTCGTGCCCTCCTGAAGTCCGGTGTCTTCGTGTTGGACTTCGTCCCCGACCGCGGAACTGCCGACAGCGACGGTATCGTATCCTTCGCCGCCTGGACTCATCCGCCAGATCTTGATCCCGACTTCGACAGCGACGGCTTCTGGCACTCCAACACCATACCTGCAGCAGAAAGAACACGAGCATTAGCAGTTATCAGACAAGAAAGACAAGTACCCGCATGTGTCCCAACAAAACCATCACCTGCAGTATCGGCAGCAGGACCCAGCCGAGTACCACCACCAGCGACACGAGGACAGCCAACCGAAGCAGACCAACTTATGCCCGCCACACGAGAAGCTTGTCGAAGTCCCGCCTCGGTCGTCGCGTTCTTCTCCAACGCCGACATCTACCACCGCTCGCCCGGTCACCGCGCTCCCGACGACATCTGGCACCAACGTCTCGGACATCCTGCAAACAGCACGATACTTCAAACAATCCAAGCAGAAGTGTTAGAACGCAACGCCCTTCTGACGACGAGCGGCCAGGAACTCCGACGACCACGCGCACGGTGTTTCACATGCCCCGAAGCAGATCTTCCTCATCAACCTTTCCCAGCCCATCACAATCCAAGCGCACCCACTTACGCTCCGATGGAAAAGGTCTACAGCGATATTCTAAACATGCCTCGAGACGACACCGAAGCCGACTTCAACTACGTCATCACGTTCATCGACGCCGCAACCAGATACGTCTGGCACTTCAATCTCAAAACGCGCGATCAAGCCTTCGAGGCATTCACCACATGGCTTCCAATCGCCGAACGAGAGTCAGGAACCAAACTCAAGAGTTTCCAGTCAGACGGTGCACTGGAATACCAGTCACAACGCTTCAGGACCTATCTCGCGGAAAGGGGAATCCGACGCCTGGTGTCTCTGCCCTATGCTCACCAGCAGCAGGGGGTAGCAGAACGCATGAACCGGACCTTGCAGACGACGATGCGAAAACTGCTTCTGGGGATGAGGCTGCCCAACGCACTGTGGCCAGACGCGATGACACATGCAGTCCACCTGCACAACCTGTTGTCCTCGTCATCGCTCCCCAACAACGCATCACCACACCTGCTGTGGACGGGAAAAAGGGGCAGCACAAAATTACTTCGAGTTTTCGGCTGCATGGTACAATACAGACCCCACACAGCTCGAGCAGGACGCTTCACTCAACGAGCTCGGTGGGGACTACACCTCGGCATCGCCAAACATTTTCACGCGTGGAAGATCCTCGACATACAAGACAAAAATACGGTGGCATCACGTGATGTTATCTTCTACGAGCGACTGACGCTGCAGCATTACCTGGACAACATTGCCAACTCAGACGACCCCACCGACGGCTTCGCGGGCCTTCGCTCCTTCGCTGACCATGCTGCCGAGGCTGACGCAGCAGAAGAAGACGTACCTGGAGCCTCGGAAGCTGCCGGGCCACTCCCATTCTGTTCCATACCTGTTCCACTCGATGAAGATAATCCCCTCGATAGCAACAACCTCGACACCTTTTACCACTTCGCCGACCAAGGTTACGCTACACCGCACCCCGTCGACACGAATATTTCGGAACGCATCGGCCCCAATTTCTTACCTGACCCCGAAGACGGTGACGAAGCAGCTTATTCGGGGAATGACAATTCCCCTCGACACACACCCACGGGACTCCAGATTCTAGGCCTCTGGGTCTCCGTCCAGCATCCGCCGCCGCCTTCTACGCGTGAGCCTTCAACCTTGTCGCAGGCTCTGGGGGGGGAACATAAGGCAAAATGGAAAGAAGCGATGGAAAAGGAGTTAAAAGCTCTGCAAGACCGAGAAACATGGAAACTGGTACCTGCAACGAGCATCAACGGGAAGAACGTTCTCTCGGGGAAATGGGTGTACCGCATCAAGACCAACTCAGACGGCTCCATCGAACGATTCAAAGCTCGATGGGTCGTACGAGGCTTCGATCAACGATACGGAACCGACTACACAGAAACCTTCGCCCCAGTCTCCCGTCACACCTCATTACGCATCCTACTCGCCGTCGCGGCCACAAAAACACTACCACTACGCCAAATCGATGTCGCGAATGCGTTCCTATACGCACCTGTGGACGCTGAGATCTTCGTCGAACAACCCCACGGATTCATCGACGACCCCACGAAAATATGCCGACTGACAAAATCCCTATACGGGATCAAGCAAGCCCCGCGGCTCTGGCAGCAGCATCTTCACAGCCGTCTCGTAAAAATCGGCTTCCTACAGCTGCCGCATGACCAAGGGATGTACCGACTGCAGAAGGGAAGAGAGTATGTTCTGCTCATCGTCTACGTCGACGACCTGCTCTACATCGGCTCAACTACCGACATCGCCACCTGGTTCGAAGGGGAGCTGAAAGAAGATTTAACTCTCACGGTGTCCGACGAAGTTACGCAGTACCTAGGACTGAACGTCGTCGAAGACGACACGGCGTTCTACCTACACGCTGGAAAGTACTCAAGCACCGTCGCGAAGAAATTCGCTCTAACACCGACTGCGGTCCCAACTCCCTACCGCTACGGGAACAACGGCAGCGCCTCTACAAAACTCCCCGCGAAACAAATCCAGGAGTATCAACAGAAGCTCGGCTGCCTACTATTCGCAGCAGTAACCTGCCGACCCGACCTATCCTATAGTGCGAGTCAGCTGGCGACACATCTGAAGCATCCGCAACAGGAAGATCTCGAAGAACTCAATCGAGCGCTACTCTACTTCGTCTCCACGCCGACGATCGGGCTTACCTACAGCAAGGCAACAACACCGTCCGTACGACTACTCGGATACGTCGACGCCGACCACGCGGGAGACAGCGAAAATCGACGGTCTAGGACGGGCTACATCTACCGACTAGAACCTATCGGAACTATCTCCTGGCAGTCGAGCAAGCAGGAGTTAATCGCACTATCCTCGGCTGAAGCAGAGTATATCGCCCTTTGTACTGCGACCAAGGAAGGACTCTACCTACGAGAGTTACTCGAAGAAGCGAAGATCGCGACCCTGCCCGCCTTCTCACTCCTCTGCGACAACCAATCTGCGATCAAAATCGCGAACAAGGACGGCTTCGCCAATCGAACCAAGCACATCGCCCTGCGGTACTTCTTCGTCAAGGATGAAATCGCGAAGGGGAGACTTCAACTCAGTTACTGCCCGACGACAGAAATGGCCGCAGATTATCTGACGAAGAAATTGGCGAAAGCAAAATTCGACTACTGCATGCTCCTAACCGGGCAAACAAACGCCACCGGATCTGAACACTCCAGCACTCCAGAAACGAAGGGGAGTGTTGGAAATATCTCAAGGACTTAAGCGTTTCTGAAGTGTAACACTGTACTCGAGGAAGATTACAGGGGAGCACGCGAGTCAACGGAGGTTACACGAGGGGGCGGACAAAGAATGCGAAAGGACTCGAAAGGTCGCAACTGGAGGTTGCGACTGACCGTTACAACATCACGGATGGTAACCGAAGCGGCAATCGAGTCGCTGTGCGACTCGATAAACCGTTCCTGTAACTGTATTCTACAACTGCTTTCTTATCTACTATATATTGCTGTATGCTTGTTTCTTTAATCAATCACTTGTTCTCACATACTAGTACAAGGGTTCAACTGCCTCAACTTCCGCTGCACTACTCCAAGTCTCAAGTCTTTATAGCTGGGACTTAGTCTCTGCAAAAGATCCTAAAGGGTTTTTCTCAGCCCAACAATTAGAAAGGATGGCTCCCCATTCTAGAGACCGCTGGTTAGTCATGTCGCCAAAAATAGGGGAGGGAGGAGGAACTACCTAGGTGTCTAAAACAGAGACACACTAGGAGGGCAAGGTCTGCAGGCAGTAAAACCAGTCACGGCAGAATTGAACGCCACTGGTGGTTGGCCTGCTACCAAAAACGGTAAGGAAACGAGGCCAGTGGGAAAGCCCTGGATCAGCGCCCAGGGATTGACTGGCACTGTAGGAACTGGAGCAGCCTGAAAATCTCTGGCTATCGGCAGAATTACAGAAGGTTCAATGGAAGCAACCCTTGGTCTCTTCAAAGCAGGCTGACCAGTCTCGTACGGTTGAAGCAGCTGCACCACGGACTCTTGATGAGCTTCTGCTGAAGAAAGGCTTGGCGTCGTCACTGCAGGAACGTCAGTGATTCCTGAAACAGACGTGGGATCAGATGTGGCATCGACGCTCCTGCCTTTGCTCGCGCTGACGTTTTCAGACTCCTCGTTGCAACCAACGCGGGAGAGCAGATCGAGCTCAACTGGTTGTCGGTCCATCCCAGGCTTCTGCGCGTTCTCCTCCAAACTCTCTTCGGAGCCATAAAACGAGCTCGGCTTCGCAAACATCGCCGCTTCGTTGCTTGTAGATTTCGCCGGGGAGGCAGACATTTCGAGCGACGATGAAAGAGAAACGGCTGACGTTGTTTCTCTCGTGCCAGCATCCTTCCCTTTGGCCCCCTTCAGCTTTCCGATCTTCAGGTGAGCTGACGAGTTCGGGTCTACAAGAAGCTGACAGAGTGCTCCCTTAACGGTATCGATCTTCCGCTTTCTCTGCAAGGACAAATAGGGATGCGAGAAGAAAGCTGTCCGGTCAGACACGGTTCTCGAGAGAAACAGGCTGAAAGGGGAAACAGAATGAAGCACACGGATGACATGGATAATGCACGTCTTAGAAGCCTAACCTCTTCTTCCCCGTTGGTAAGCGCGAATGGCCGCAACCGTTCAGGAGGCGTGGAGTTTTCTAGCGCGTGAAGCATGTTGTCTAGCTTCCGAACCTTACGGAACGGCCACCTCTGAATGCCGTGCTCGCGACATTGCTGCTTCAAAACAGTGACGCAGACGCCCAGCTGTGAAGAAAGGGGTCCAAAAGAGGAGCTAGATCAGCTTTTGTCGGAAAAAAATCCCTGGGAAGAAGGGGAAAGCGATGTGAATAATCGTGCGTACTTTGCAAGCAGCTTCGTTTATCGGAAGGTGAAAATGCTCCATGAGCTCTTGCAGGGAAATGGTTCGCGAACGGTTGCCCGTCGGAAGCCGGACCTGCACAAGCAAATTAGGGTTGGTAAGGCCACCAGTGACGGAAAGCACAGGATATGCGAAGACTAGCCGTGAAACATGAAGCTTACCCTGCTTCCATAACCCACAAGAGGGGCCTCTGGCTCTGGGAGAAACTTAGGCTGGCACATGGTAATCGCTGGAGGCAGTAGTGTCAATTCTGGATTGGCGGGGAGGAATGTTCAGCTGGGAGCTTCGGCTGTATCTGTTGCTGGCCTGTGACTGATACTAGCCCTCGGTGGAAAAGGCTTATCGTCAGATAGGCGAGTCTGGAGGGCACAACCACCATGTGCATCAAAAGAAACTCCGCGAGGGAGCGGCCCCCTTGCTTTTGGTCATGGCGGACTCGCGCGCGGACGGATAGCTTGCCTAACCAATCACGGTAAGCGGTGCTTTCGATGGTGATGATGTGGCAGGCGATTGCCTACAACTTCCAGGTGCGGGCAGCTTTGCATGGTGTAACTCTGCCCGGTCCTTCACGACGACATCTCCAGCTACCGCCGATACGACAAGTCGACGAACGACATGACACACACACACACACTCCTCGCAACGATTCACTTCGTTGCGTCGAACCGGTGGGGCTGGTTGGGGGAGGAAAGCGGGAAATGGCTGGGCGGGGGAAAAAGCGCAACGTCATTACCCACGCGCGGCAGCGGCAGGCGAACCAGCAAAGCTGGCACTTCACCTGCACGCGGAAAGTGAGGACCATAACCGCCCCCGCCGCGCCCGACTGACCTTGCTGCGAGTGCCCCATCGTCGTCAGCAATTGGAAACGGATCAACGGCTCGTCCTGCCACATGAAACGCCAACATGACAACGAAAAGGTGAGCCCCATCATTACGACTCCAGCGAGGCAAATGCCTGAGCTGCCAAAGCAAGCTAGGCCAGCGGAAATTGTCCATGTGTCACATTTGACCAATCCGAATCATTCATGATTTCTGCGCTGTAATGACCTCTTCAACCGGGGAATTTCAACCCACCGAACGTATCTGAAAGTTGCTGGTGAACCTTTCCATTTCTTTTCCAACGCAAAACTTCGTTACAAATTCATAATATTCCCAATTCCTCCCAACTAGCTCTCTAGAATTACATCAGTAATCTGACATGCTCACTGTATTAGATCGCTTGGCTTGAGCTTTTCCCCCTTCTAAAAAATATTTTTCTTGTCTGATAAACCGTACAAAAAAAAACGCATTGTTACAACTCGATTCCTTCCATATATGTACACCCTAAATCTCGTTTGTCTCGAATCACGTAGCATCAAAAAGCGGATACAGTCATTGCCAAGATCGGCTTCTCATCACATTGTGAAATGGAATTTCATATTGCCCTGGACCAAATATGGCTTAGTGTGGGAAAAACCACTGACCTCAACGGGCTGAGCTGCTGACTCCAGAAGCTCCTCGTCGCGTGAGCCCGCCAATTTATTTTATTTTATTTTTCAAAATTTCACCACCCGCTGGCTTCCCTCCACGTGGGACCAAACACTCGTCACTCCAGAATACACCCTTAAGTCTTCGGAGGTTTTGAAATACCCCTGGCGGTCGGTTCCCCAGGCGGTCATGTACAATCACATTCCGAAAAAAAACAAACGCCGCCAGCCTGACATACACGCTTGATTCTAACGAGGTTAGGGTGTATTGTGCAAGGAGGGGATTTGCTTGCCAAAATTACCGAATGGAGGAAATGAGCAGAGAAGCTTCTGGGGAAATCTAATCGGCGCCAGGGTACGACATTTTGGCCTGTCACCGTCTTCCGTGGAGCTGTCCGCCAGTCGTACCACACCTCAGCACGAGCTTTGTGTGATGGCACTGGATTGCAAGCTGTCACAGTCTGACGCGGACCCACCACAGTCCTCGTCTCGGTACAGGTCGGTTGGACAAAGGCGGTGGCAAGGACACCATCCTCCGACCTTCCATTTAGTTGGTAATGATCATGAAAACATTTCTACACCATCGCTCTATCCGCAAAAGGAAACGTGGTTTGGATTCAGGAAAACAAGTCTACATATCCAACTTGTAGTACGTCTCGTATTCAACATTCGCAGTATTACGACTACTCAATGTGTGCTCCTTTAGCTCGTTCTCACGGTTTACACGACTTCACATCCAGAACAACTGACCCTGCTAATGGCGCAAAATTAGTTACACAAGCAGGCTAGCAACCAAGGATGTGCCACAAACTATGGGCTCGACTCTGCAGAACCTGATGCGGGGCATGGTGAGTCTAAGCATCATGCTTCTCCGGGGGGGTGAGGAAGGCCTGGCCTGGCTTCCTGGCAGCAAGAGGACCATGGTTGCCCAAGAGCTGGCGACGACATGCAGAAACAGATGGGGAAGAGGAGGGGTCAGGCCTCATACCGTAGTTGCAAGACCACGCAACAATATAAGCACAAACTGGATCATACAACTAGTACGAGCGGTGATCAAGATGTAGCATTAATCAACTTGCTCTCACCTTGGCATTCACTCCATCGTGCACCAGCCTGTTCTCCTGCTTCCACTTGACAAAGTCGGCGCGGGCAAGCTTTGTGAAGCCCCTGAACACATTCACAGCACAGAGCAGCACAACAGTCAGGAGAAGCGAACAATGCGGGTCAAAAAAGAATCCACCATAATAACAATCTGAGATACATGCTATCCGCCCTTCGACCCTCTCACCCCTCCACACTTAAAGCCACACTTCCCATTTCCATACCCTGTTCCTGCCACACATTCACCGCTTTCCCCACACCCCACCCCCCCCCCCCCCAGCTCACCACTTGCGGCTGGCGATGACCTTCTGCCGGCCCGGGAACTTGAATTTGGCGCGGCGCAGGGCCTCGGCGGCCACAGCGGCGTTGGCCTCCTTGCAGCGCACGGACAGCAGCACCTGCCCGATCGCCACACGTGCACACACGCCCTGCGGCTTGCCGAACGCCCCTCGCATACCCGTCTGGAGCCTGCTCAGTGCGAGATAAAAGAGGAACAGATAAAGCAGCAAGTAGAAACAGGTTAAGCCACTGCAAAGACAACAATTCCTTAACCACGCACACAAGAAAGAGTTATTACTATGGGCGTGCTTGTATTTCCAGCCACTGTACCTACCGGCCCCGGCGCACGAGAGATTGTTGGTGATGCACAGCACGCTGCTAAGACGCGCAATTCAACGCGCATATCGGCTTCAGGGTAAGACGACGTACCTTGGCGCATGAGAGAATGCTCACATGGATGCACGCGGATGCTCACATGCGTTATGAGGAGCACATACCAGCTTGCGAGCACGAGAGCGTGCCGAACGACCCACGGGCGTACCTATCAGCCCCGGCACATGAGTGCATGTTGTTGATGCAGCACGATGCAACGCGCAATTCAACGCGCATATCGGCTTCACGGTACGACGCCGTACCTATCGGCCCCGGCGCACGAGAGCATGTTGCTGATGCGCAGCACGAGTAAGGGTTGCACGCGGATGCTCACAGGCGCAACGCACCGAGCATACCAGCTTGGGAGCGAGCCAGCATGCCAAACAGCCCGAAGGCGTTCCTATCGATTCCAGCGTACCTATCAGCTCCGGCGCACGAGAGCATCTTGTTGATGCGCAGCACGTGGAAGGGGTGCACGCGGATGCGCAGGTGGAAGGCGTCCTTGCCCGCGAACTTGGTCATGTACTTGTTGCACGCAATGCGCGCCGCCTCCAGCGCCTCGCTCGACACGTTCTCCTTCTCCCAACTGCCACATGGCGACGGGCCACGAGGGGAGAGGTGGGGGCGGGGGGGAAGAGAGGAGCGGTGGCGGAAAATGAATGGGGACGGAATTGGAAAAGGATGCCATTTTGCGCGGAGGCCACACGGCAGAGTGGTTCGACGTGCACGCTCACGCGTCTCATTTGACGCGCTCTCTCTGTAGAGTGCTGATAGCAGGACGCGGAAAGAGAGCACTTGTGAGGGAACAGGGGAGTAGAAAAGTGCGAATCGGGGTTTTGGGTTCAGGTGGAGGCGGAAACGACGAATGAACGAATCAACGAGAGTGCAGAGAGTCGTCGAGTTCGCATCGGAAGGAATTCTTGGAGCCGCTGCTGCGAAGCGCGGCAACGGCTCATGAGCAGACGGTAACGGACCCAAGAAACCCATGGAGTCCCTTCCTGGCAACTTCCCGGACTGAGCCAAAGTAGTCGGACAGAGAAGCTCGATGCTGTAGCGAGCGGGATCGGAGCTGCGGACGGCTGCCAGCGATGGGGCCATGAAAAGACCTCGCTCGGGAAGAGCCGCTGCCGATCGGAAACCAGCTACTCTCAATGGAGCCTTCATGCACGGATCCCGGGAGTCGGCACCGGAAAGGTCGGTACCTGACGCGGCGGTCGTACCTGACGAGGTGGACGCAGTAGGGGAACTCATCGACGCCCTTCTTCTTCATGCCCACGTCATAAATGCGGATCTTCGCATCTGCGAAAAAAACAACACACAAACCAAGCTGAAGTTTAGAGGCGCCTAAACTGGTCGTTGATGCGAATCTTAGAGTCTGCGAGTAGCCCGCCAGTCAAGGACATCGTCATGCTAAGCGAAGCCTACAAACAGGCACAGTCATCGCCATAGCCAGGCACCTAGCGTTAAACTTCGACCAACTAAACGGGCGACGCAAAACCCTAATTTCCGGATTGTGCAAAAAGGAAGGAGATTGAACGACGCACCGGGAACACCGCGGCAGTACCGCGACTTGGGGTACGGCTTGTTCTTAATCTGGCGGTAGCACCTAGCGGGGCCTGTGAGAACGAGAGGACCACCCACAATAACACGCATAATCCAGACCAGAGTCAACCAACCACTTCGCCAAACTCATGAGATAAAAGCAGCGCGGAAGATACTAAGGCGACACGTAACCGACACTTACGGCGACCCATGGCGTCTACTGGTTTTCTCGACGGCTCTCAGGGCTACGCGCGGAACAAAAGGAAAGTCTGCACGAGGTAAGCTAACTTATGTACGCAAGGTCGAGAGAGGGAGAGAGAGGGAGGGAGACCAAGATTAGGGTATTGGAGAACAGATTTGTATTTCTGCTCACAGCCGTCGGATCTTGCCCTGGGAGGCAGATGCTCCGGCCGACAGCCAGGGGAGGGTTTCTTGGCTTTTGGGGGCTCTGCTCTCGCTTGTGGGGCCAGGTGTGTGATTCTCTCGATTGTTCAATAAGTGGTTGGGCAATAACACAGAAGCCGCTGCGAAGTGCATCTAGAGCTTTCGCGTGCCCATGGCGAACGTCATAAATGTTACACAAACTTCTCTGCAAATCGATAATTCGCAACAGTATTCTTATCCATTAGAACGATGTTCATAGATTCCCTGCAACAATAAAAAATAATGAACGAATTGCAAATGCAACAGTTTATTTCTTCTTGCCACCAGCCTTCAACGCCTTCTCGTATGCGGGATTCCCGGGAGCAATAACCATCTTGTTCTCCACAGTCCACGTCTCATTGGTGAGCGACGCCAGAAACTCCTTGTTGTGGGAAATTACCACCACAGCGCCCTCAAAGTCCTTTATGGCGCCGACGAGCGCGGCGAGGGAGTCTCTATCGAGGTAGTTGGTGGGCTCGTCCAACACTATCATGTGCGGGTTGCTCCACATGGCCGCTGCCAGCACCACCTTCACCTTCTGCCCGCCTGTGAGACAGTATGGAGGGGAGGGGACAAGGATAGAAATGAGGTCAGGGATACACACGAGAGCAGCAGAACTGAGGAGCAGGTGCAAATAACGGTGATGATGATAGGGAAGAGGCACACAGGCAAAGGTCATGCGGAAAACATGGCACTTGTCCTAGGGGCATTCAACCCGGAGGTCTGGCTGTTGGGAGGTGCCGTGCTGCCATGAGAGCAGCAGGGCTCCAGCCACATATCTCAACCTACCCGAGAGGTTCTTGATCTGGCCGTACGTGCCGAACTCGGCATCAAGCCCGAAGTTGTCAAAGTGCTCCTGCACGCCCGCAATGGTGAGCGGCCGCCCGTACACGCCCAGGCGCGCCACCTCCTTGGCATCCACGTCGTGCACCAGCTTCTCGAATCCCAGGTCCTCTAGGAGCTCGCGCGACAGCCAGCTGTTGAAGACTGACTTGAGGCCCACCCACTGACGGAAGGGGCGAATGGGGAGAGAAATTGCAGAAAATGGAGAGATTCTGGTTTGTGAATTCGTTGGGATTCCAGTATCACAGAGGCAGCTGACGCATGCCCATGTGTCCATGCTTCCATCCTCCTCGCACGCACCTTGACCTCGTACTCGTAGCTCTTCTTGGACTTGCGCCTTGAGAGCAGCTGCTCCACCTGCTTCTTCTGGCCGTTGTGCATGATGAGCTCCTCCATGCTCCGCATCTCCTCCTTGCCGATCTTGCGGAACACCTTGTTCAGCTCCTCGCGGTCCTCGCCGCGCGCAAAGCGCCACCGGATGTACTCGTTGGGCGACTTGTCCAGGTGCTGCTCCACGTGGTGGAACGCGTGCTGCGCCACGTACGCCATGCCCAGGTTTGGGTGCCGCCAGATGGTGCCGGACTGCAGGGAAGGGCAATGGCAGGGCGTGACAGGGAGCGAGGAACGGCAGAGAAAAAAAAGTGAGGCGTGGCAGGGAGGTGAGTTGTCAACGTGCTGATACACATGGTGGCAACATACGCCATGCCCAGGTTGGGGTGGAACAGATGGTGCCGGACAGCCGGGGGGAGAAAAGTCACAGGGAGTGGGGAACGGCAAAGAGAGGATTAAGGTTCTTGCGCTAGGGCCAGCCTCAGTGCACAACACTCGTATGCTTACCCCTTCCAGTTCGTGACCAGCCAGCCTTTCTGCTCACCATGGATTTGCTCCCTCCAGCGATGAGCTAGGTAACCGCGGACTTGCCCAACCCACCCCACGACAGCAACTTCGCTCCCCAGCGTGTACTGCACCTGCACATAAGTGAGGATGGGCTACTGAGCTAGTGGGATTAAGGGGGGCTCACCGAAGGCTTGCTCTCTCCAGTAATAAGCTTGATTAGTGTTGACTTGCCCGCCCCATTCACCCCCACCACAGCCACTCGGCTGCCCAGAGTGCACTGCACGTGCACGCCAGTGAGTGCGGGGCTCTCGGCCTCGGGGTACGTGAAGCAGACATTGGTGAGCTTCATGATGGGCGACTCCTTGCGCCGGATGCCGTCCAGCTGCCCGGGCGTCGGCAGTTTGTACTTGAAAGGGGCTGCTGCCAAGTCGTAGTACACACGGCCTGCAGGGTTGACCTGTTGGATATGAGAGAGAATTGGAACGGTAGGGAGAGGGAGGAGAGCAGAGGAGGGAGGTGAGAGGGGAGGTGAGAGGGGAGGTGAGAGGGGAGGTGAGAGGGGAGGTGAGAGGGGAGGTGAGAGGGGAGGTGAGAGGGGAGGTGAGAGGGGAGGTGAGAGGGGAGGTGAGAGGGGTGAGAGACTAGGGGGTGGAGGGAGTGGAGAGGGGAAAGGGGTACGGGGGAGGGGATGGGTAAAAGCATACGGCCTGAAGGTTGAGAGCTCAAAGGCAAAGCTGCAGATGGGGAGTTCAGGCAAGAGGGCAAGACAAGACGAGATGGGCGTACCTTGACAAACGCGGACAGGTTGCCCCTGTAGTGCTTGAGTTTTCTCTTCTCGTAGTGGATGATGTCTGTGCACACGGCGTCCAGGAAGCCACTGTCGTGCGACACGATGAGGCACGACAGCGTCTTGAGCCCCGTCAGGTACCGCTGCAGCCACTCCACGTTCGTTGCGTCCATGTGGTTCGTCGGCTCATCTGGCGGTGGTGAGCGGGAAAGAGGGAGGGAGCGAGAGACGGACGGGGGGGACGCGGAACAATGAGCATAGTCGCTAAAGCTAGCTCCGACCTCCATCCGCCCGAGAGCAGGGCATAAGACTGTGCAGGTGCCTCAAACCCTTCCAGCGAAACCCTCCCCTGCCCCCCCCGCCTCTCCGTTTCCCCCCCATTTCCCTTCCATAGCCCTTCCATCCCCCCTCCCCACCCCCCCCTTTCCCTTCCATAGCCCTTCCAACCCCCCCCCCCCCATTTCCCCCTCTCCTCCCCCTTCCGCCCCTAACTCACCAAGCAGCAGAATATCCGCCCCAATCAACATGGCCCTCGCGAGAGCCAGCTTCATCTTCCACCCGCCCGACAGCGCCGTGATCGGCTGTCTCTGGCGGTCCTCCCCGAACCCCATCTTGCCCAGCTCGCACACCACCTCCGCCTCGTCCACCCGCCCCTTGAGCGCCTCCTCCTCCAACAAATAATCCACGGGGCTCCTGTCCACCACGGAGCTGTCCAGGTCGTGCTCCACATACACGGTCCGCAGCACGTCAGCCGAGGGGAACCCGTCGAGCTTCCCGTTGGCTATGGCGCGCATGAGGGTGGACTTTCCACACCCGTTGTGCCCGCACAGTCCGTACCGCCGCCCGCGCTTCAGCCACAGGCGGGTGGCGGAGAGGAGGATCTTCCCGCCGTATCCAAGGGAGAATTCACAGTCGCAGAGGTCCTCCCCCTCGTCCTCCCCGTCCTCTGCCCCCGACCCGTCCCCGCTCCGCGCTGCCCTGTGCGCCTCCCGAGCCTGCTTGCAGAACTGCCGAGCCACAGCCTCGGTGTCCTCGCCCCAGGGCGACAGGTACGGCTCGAGGCTCGGGACGACGCAGCGGACCCAGTCGGATTCCTCAAAGCGCTTGGCTGCTGCGAGCACCGTGCACATGCGGACGACGTACTCTAGGGTTTGCACCAGCATGCCCCCCTTCTCCGCCTCCTCCCTCGCCCCCGATGCTATCACATTCCTTAGAAGCCCCAGCAGTACCACTGCGTTCGCTGCATGCCTCTCCGCCAGCCCCTCTGCCGGCGCACCAGCAGCAGCATTGCCATTACCAGCCCCACCGTTGCCACTGCCGCGTTTCTTAGCAGCAGCCGCTTCAGCCAGCGCTACGGCAGCGGCGCACACATCCCCGCTGCCACCCGCGTCCTTGGCGTGCGAGTCCACCTCCTCCTTCATCCCCTGCAGCGTCAGCAGCACCCGCCCCGCCGTCTGCCGGCACTCAGGGTCCGCCACCTCCACGCTCACCCGCTCCACCCCGGGCATCAGCATCGGCAGGAACGGCGCCAGCTCCCGCGGCTCCTCCACCAGCCTCAGCACGTTCTCGATCACCACGACGGTCTTGCGCTTGACCAGTGCAGCGCGCTCCTTCATTCCGCGGACCAGCACGGGCGTCATGATGGCGAGCGCGGGCGACAGCACGGGCTGGATGAAGGTGATGCCCGAGAGGCGGTTGACGCACTCGGGCACGTGCGTGGGGTGCAGAATGGCGTCCACGAGGGACGGCACCGCCGCCTCGATGTCGCGGTTGCCAATGGTGCCGGCGCACTGCAGCATGGACGCTGCTGCCGCCTTCATCACCTGTTGGAGGGGGAGGGCGAGTGCGGGGGTGGAGGAGGAGAGGAGAAGGAGGCGAGGGCTTAGGAGGGTATTAAGGGGGTTTGATAGAGCATGGGTTTGGGAAAGAGCGAGTGAGAAAATGGAGGTCGCAGAGGAGAAGAGAGGGCGGGGTGGGGAAGGACGGGACGGAGGGATGGAGGGGCACGCGGAGAGAGCTGGGCGGCAAAAAGTATAAAGATGTCACTTCGTCACTCTCAGTCCAGACAGCCACGTTCAATACAGTCACGCATCTCACCTGCGCTTTGCCTTCAATCATGTATTCCGACAGCAGAGGCACGATGACGTGGAGGGCGGCTGCCACCTGGCGGGGGCCGTTGAGCGCCAGGTGGCCCACCAGCAGCAGCGCGGCCTCCTGCGTCTTCCAGCTCTTGTGGTTGCGCGCCCCCTCCACTAGCACTGCGGGGATAAGGAGATTCAATGTCAGGGTTTGCAAGGTTTGGGGGTTCCGGGTCCAAGGGGATTCTATTCCAAGGCTTGAAGCGAAAAGATGGACGTTATATGTCAACTTTCCGAGGTTAAGGTGTCAGGGTTCGGGGTGCAAGGATGCATGCGCCGGTTTCAGGATTCTGCCTCATAACACTATGAGCATATTACTCGTTTCGTGCGACGTAGGTCATGTCCCTCTTCCCACTCATCATCCACCCGCCCGCCCACCCAAACCCCATTCTTCCTGAACCCTTCCCTTAACCCGTCACCAACTCACCTGGCAGCACCAGCGGCACGGCATGCGGGCAGATCATTCCCACCACCGCCTTCGCAGCAGCTTCCGCCGCCAGCGGAACCCCCACCGCCTCGTACGCGGAACTCTCCGCCACAGGCGCAGCCGTCCCCGCCGCGGGTGCACCCGCGGGCGCAGCACCGTTCGCCGCGGGCGCAGCGGCCTTGTTTAGCAAAACTGGGGCGGCGGCCTTATTCAGCAGGACGGGACCCGCCGCTTTGTTCAGGAGCGTCAGGCCCTTGCCAGCCACGGGCGCGCCCACAACCTTGCTCACCGCGGGCCCGCCCAGAACCTTGCTCACCGCCGGGCCCCCCAGAACCTTGCTCACCGCCGGGCCCCCCAGAACCTTGTTCGCCGCGCCTGGAGCTTTGCTCACTGCAGGCGCAGCCTTGTTCCCCGCGGGCGCGGCCTTGTTCCCCCCGGTGGGCCCTTTGTCCCCCACGCGGAGAAGTAGTGTGGGGAGTAGCGCAACCAGTTGCGCCTCCAGAGGCGCGCCGACTGTCTCCGCGAGCTTGCGCACCAGCACCAGCGCCCCCTCCTTCACAACTGGGGTAGATGTGTCGTCGAGCCCTTGTGCGATCTTCGCAAATAGATTGTGCGACTATCGGGAAAGGCAAGGGACGGTGGAAGGAAAATAGAGGGGTTTAAGTTTCATACGACACTAAAAGTTCCCGCAACACCGGGTACACAGGAAGCTCCTCGAATGCGTAAGATTTTACTGCGAGTAGAAGGCCCTTTAGCCAGTTTATGGAATCGTGAGGATGCAAGGTTAAGTAGCCCTGGCCAGATCCAATAGATATTTCACGCGACTAGCCTTCCGCGAGACGTAAACCCCGCGACCCGGAAGCACGATTCATAAGTCTCGAATCCTAATCCCTGAACCGCCCAATTTTCAGTCCTCAACCTCCAAAGTCAACCAAAAGCTGGCGTAAACAAAAAGGAAACCGAAAACTGGCGGTCCGTACCTCGCATAGTTTGACGCCGTTGGTCTTGATAACGTCGCAGATCTCGCTGGCGACCTTCGCTTGATCCGCCGTGGCTGTGCTGAGGACGGTCTGCATGAGGTCCGCCATCTTCGCGTCGGCAGATTCGAGCCCCATCGCCGTCGACGAGATAGGAGATAGGCACGAAGTAGCACGTTAGCTCTGTCCCGATAACACGGGACTAAGAGCCTAGTAACGCAGATCTGATAGCCGGTACGTGGATAATCAGCGGACGAATGAAAGTAATATCCCGTAAAAAACAAACTTGGATTTCGTTGCACCTAAGAAAGCCGTCTCTTAGAGACGACGTATAGGTTGCCAGAAGTCAAACCGTTGATGACACAACGCCAAGTATGGCTTCTGCCAGACTAAATCATGAATCCTTGCTTGCAGTACAAAGAAGCAGGTTGATTGAGCCAGCAGTCAGAGAACCGAGGGAGGGACCAGGCAGAATCGAGGCAAGCGGGAAAGAAGCGATGGGGAGACAGTTGATCATGGAGTGCGGCTTGGGTTCGGTTTGGGTTTGGGTTCGAGGGGCAGACCGAGCCGAAAAAAGAGTCCCGTAAAGCTGGCGGGAGATTTCGGTGAAGTGTTCGCAACCATCGAATACGGATGACCCGGCATCAGGGGGCTCAACCAACCACGAAACGCCAGGCGGATTCAGCTCCTGCCCGTGTCATTTCGCTCGCGTAACAAAGAGTGTGCGGTGATACGGGCAAGGAACCTTTGGCTGGAAACTTTTGGTTCAGGTAATCGTCAGGAATCGGCAAATCTCTGCCCTCGAGTTCTCACCGCGGAAAAGCGAATACCTGCCATGTGGTAGGGGCAAGCCCCAAGAGCGCCGCGGCTGTGGGGACGTGGAAGTATATGCGGTCTGGGTGGATGTCGGCTGCCCCCACCAACCCATTGAGCTCGGGGAGCTGACGCGATTGGCCGCTGACCAAGGTCCCATGGCGAGCCACCCACTAGTCATCCTCGACGTTTCCCAGTGATTTGGAGCCAAAAACAAAAATGACATCGGAACATGTACAAAAATCGGCGATATCGAGCATATGCACATAAACCCAATGTGCAAATCGAAACTTCTAAATGGCAATGAAATGTTGTGAAGGAAAGAGTTGGGCTAAGTATGCATTATACACTTAATGGACAAAGGGGAGTGACTAAGCAAGCTCTCCAAGTGATGTTGTACTCTGAGAAGTGGAATTAGGTTTGTGGAATCAGAGATTATACAATGGTCTATAGACAACTATCAGATCTTCATTCACACATACGACACGAAACGGCTCATATCATACCATATGCCATGGAACGGACCTCAGGACACACAGTACCATACACAAATGCACCTCAGCACAATCACAACCTCCTACGCTCTTGCGGGGCATTGACATGGGTGGCCACTCGGCACTAGGGAGGTGCGCACTCGGCCACATGATGACTGCATCCTCTGAGATCTCATCGTGATGACTGCACCGCATCACCCTCACTCGCACCAGCACCCTCCACCTCACTAGGCCCATATACCGTCCCTTCTGCACCCTCTTCCTGTTCATCTCCAGCTTCATCCCCATGACTGTCGCCCCCCTCCGCATTCTCGCTGTAATCGTCCTCACTATACTCCGCAGTGGCGTCCCCACATGCATTGCACGCCTTGCGACAGGCACCGGGGTTGCCTGCTGTGCCAATCATGTATGGCCGGTTCGTCTCACACTCACCCATGGACGCCCACGCCTCACACCTGGGGAAGGAAATGCAGACAGGGAACGGTGGAGGGCCGGTGAGTGGAACAGGAGCACCAGTACAAAAGAGACGGTGTGGAAATACTGGCAGCCTGGCATGTAGAGGCAGGCGGAGACAGGGGAGAGGAAAGAGAAGGCAGGGGAGGACAGGGGAGAGAAGGCAGGTAGAGAAGCTATGCAGCGAAGCATGAGCCGAGAGATGGAAGGCTGAATGTGTGATGCTAATACTCACAGTCCGTTGGAGTCCACGCAGAGCCCTCCCCGAGTGCCGGCAGCAGGTGAGTCGTAGTTGTGCACGTGGATCCACTTGGGTGCCGACCACTTCTCACCCGCCTCCACGGGGCACGCGTGGTGCAGGCTGCTGGGATCCACCGACCCGTCAGGGTGCAGGTTGTAGAATAGCAGTGCGTCGCCACGCACCGGCTTCACTGCAAGGGCAGAAAAAGAGAGAGGGGGAGGGGGGAAGGGGAAGTGGCCAGGGGTAATCAGAGAGGGAGGGATGGGAAAGAGAACACATAGTAGTCTGGGTCTAGGTTGTAGAAGAGAGCAGCACGTCGCCGTGCACCAGCTTCACTGCGAGCACAGAGAAGGAGAGAGGGTTGGGGGGGGGGAGGGGGGAATTGGAAGGAAGCGGAGGATGAGAGAGGACGAGAGAACATGGGAAGCTAGACAGCGGCGCTGCCTCGTGCAGCAACTGTTGGAAATCCTTCCCAGCACCCCTTTCTCCTGCTATCCGTATGCACAGGCCCCACTCTCCACCCTGCTGACCCCGCCTACCCAGATCCTCGCTCTGCATCCCCTTACCTGCCAGGACGCCCTTGGCGCAGTCGGTCCAGGAGTCGTCCTTGGGCGTGGGGTCCTTGTGCTCGGGAAAGGTGGTCTCCCCGCCCCGGGTGACGTTGTTGAGGTACATGAGCACGGTGACGAAGCGGTGCCCGCCCTGCTGCGTGTTCACAGGGTCGTCAAAGTAGTCGTGGTGCGCCTCGTACTGCTGCCCCACGCCGTACCGCAGGATCTTTTTGAAGGGAGAGGTTGAGAGCGGTTCAAAGAGGCGACAGGGAATGCAGGGGTGGAGGAGGGGAGAGGAGGGTAGAGGAGGGGAGAGGAGGGGGGAAGTGTTTCAAAGTAGCGACAGGGGATATTGGGAAGGGCGGAGGAGGGAAAACGCGAGGGAGAGCATCTTGCAATGATTCTGCAACTTTTCTATGCAAACTGTGCAGAGCCCTTCAGGTGTGGAGGGCCGCCGCGGAACGGGGAGGGTGTGGTTGGGAGGTGCAGCGGGGGAAGTGGAGAACAGTGGAGGAGTTACAAGCCTCTTGCATCGTCAACCAGTCATGCTCACCTGCAGCGACTCCTGGTTCTCAACGGGCAGGAAGGTCCAGAGGCTGATGCGGTCCTCGATGGCGCGCACGACGGCGTCCTCCGCCTTGTCGAGGAACATGCCGCTGCTCGTGCGCACCGCGCTCACCTCGCTGTGCCCGTCCTCGCTGTCCGTCACCTCCGACCTGCCGGACCACGCCGTGCACGACATGCATGACATACGTTGCCGCATGGCATACGCGAGCCACATACATGTCACACATGCCACACTTTGCCACGCGTTGCCCCGTGCCAGCCCGCATGCCATATACCCGCCATGCATGCACCCCATCCCGTTCACAGAGCAAATGAGAATGAGAACACACACAAGACCATGCAGAGCCACGTCTGTTCCTCCCGTGGACGGGATGGGACCCTCCTAGCAACTCATTCGCTAGTCTATCGTCCAGCACCCCAACTCACCCGGGCAGGAAACACAACCGCACCCACCCCGCAACACGCACCTCTCAAGGCGCGGCTTGGCGAGGCTGACGAGGTGGTCGCACTCGGCGTCCGAGAGGAAGCCCTTGTACAGGTACGCGCGCGGCTTCCACGCCGACAGCTGAATGATGCGCCGCTCGCCCCGAGGACCTTCTGCGGGCTGGTGGTGAGGGAAGGGGAAGCGGGGGATTGGGAAGAGGGAGGGGACGTGGTAGTTCCGGATTGGCGAGAGGAGTGCTGGCAGTGCTCGTAGGGGGATGGCGGGAGGCACAAACGGGACGAGATGACGGCATATACTTGCATTCGTTCACTCTAACGGAAGTTTGCTGGCTAGAATCGTCAGTAAGTTTGTTGTACGATACTCGTTGATGAACCAAGTCACGCGATCCGTTCAGCGTACCTTTTCCGCAGTGAACGCGCCGAAGTCGAGCCAGCTGAGAGCGGTTGTGTGCATCTGGGCAAGGTCGGCTGCGGTTGACGGCCGTTGGATGAACACGCCCGCCACCAGCACCACCGGCAGAAGCACCGCGATGACCATCAGCGGACCCGCTGACAAGGGATCCGACGCTGGCTTCTTCTTCGCACTCTCCTTATTAACGTCCTCGGATGATTCGGGTTTCTCGAAACCAGCATGCGTTTCTGATTCTACTGGTTTGTCAGTCAGACCCGGGGTATCTGCTTTGCTAGTCTGTTCCGACTCATCTCGCTTAGGTTCTGACGACGTTGGCTCGGCCATCCTGACGAAAACACACTCTGTAAAACTACGTATACCAAGTCTAAGAACAAGGTCCTCTACCCGTTCAAAAGACAAGATACTTTAGAGGAGCCCACCGCGCATTCGAATCTTTCAGACAGATATACGTCGCTCGTCAATGTCAACACCGGTTTGGAATCAATGAGTGTCCACGGAAAGCTCGAGAAGGCTAAGAATATAACACAGGTTCCAGAGTAGCTCATAGATAGCAGAAAGCTAGCGAGCTTCAAGTGAATTGGCAGAATCCGAACAAGCACAACATAGTTTCTTGTCCAGTCAACAAGGCCAGAATAGCACAAATGAGCACCCCTCCCGAATCTCCTGTCAGCTGGCCGAGGGGAGGAGGGAGGCAAGGGATCCTTCATCGTCAGCATCTCGAAAGCAGGCCTCTCGATAGAAGGGTAATTACCCTGCTTACTCAAGGAAAACAGGGTTATTTTTGTGTACTACCCTGATTTCTACGCATCCAGATTTGAAGTACACGTCCTCTAGCAGCCTAGGCAACAACGTTCCACGTCCGATTTCCGAGTAGTGGAATGTATCGCCCTGTAACATCCGTCTGTAAGGCCTGGTTACCCAGCTAGAAACCCCTCTTCTCCGTTGAGGGAGGGATTCGGGCAAAACCGCTCCCGAAATCCCAAGTGGCCCGTTTGGGTTTTCGGCAAGCGCGCCAGACCCTGATTGGATGTTGCAGCTTCCCCAACCAAGCCTCTCTAACTCAAACTCGTTACCCCCAACCAAGCCTCTCTGAACCAAACATTTCCCCCAACCAGGCCTCTCTGAACCAAACTTATTTCCCCCAACCGAGCCCCTCTCAGCCAAACTCGTTCCCCCCAATGAAGCCTCTCTCAGCCAAACTCGTTCCCGCAACCAAGCCTCTCTCAGCTAAGCTCGATTTCCCAAAGAGGTTTGGTTGGGGAAACGTGTTTTCCTGGACCACGCCTCTGTGCTTCATATAAGTGGGGCATTTGTATCTGTGGGTAGGGTAATTTTTTTGTAGTAGGCAATAAATTGGTGATGTGGCGGTTGCACATGTAGTCAATCGTTTGGGTTTTTCTTTTAGCACAATTTGGCTTATAATAACATCCGAGCACTTGTAGATATTGGTGAAGGGGAAAGTTCAGTGCACTTCAAAGAAGTGAACGCGACCTTGAAACCCTGCACATGCCGGGAAACCGCCGAAACTGCCTTGCAAAAACAGTCAACTTTTTTTGGGTTACCCAGCTTGGACGAGCTGGTTGCGCGACTAACTCGGATTCTGCAGTGGGCCCTTCGGGGACATCGAGAGGCCTGCTCGAAAGATCGTGTGGGATAGGATGATATCAGGGAGTTTTACGGGATTCGGGAGGCTAAAAAACGATTGTAATCGTTTTTGTTTGGTGACGTTCGGTTGGTGCTCCAGTCATGGAAGTGGAACCATCATGCGACTGGTGTTGAGCAATTTCCAAGGTCCAGTCCAACGTGGAAGTGACGCCAATCACATCATAGCATGGCACTGAGCTGGACCCACGGAGCAGGCGCAGATTGCGGGAGGAGGGGCCATACCCGCCAAGAGTTTCCCCGAGTTCCAGCACCATTCTCGAATCCAGTGTGCTGCTTGCTGTACTTCAGCAGGATGTATAGTTGATATCTGACCAAACCGCGGAAAGGCCAGGTCAGACGTGCCATGTCTGACCAGATTCTTTTTCACTACAATTGGTCGCCGCTCGGCACCGACATCGTCGACCACACATCTGGTCCAAGATGTAAACTGTACAGATTTAGTTACAATATGTTTCTTTCGTTAACCTCGCCCCTCCCCTCCAGCCCTAAGACAATGTTCGCCAAACAGCTTCGCAGTCTCTTCTACGGGCCTCCCTTTCCTGGCTCTGGCTGAAATGCTGCGCTTCTCCCTGAGAGACACAGAGGGAGCAGGGAACCTTATCCAACCCAAACCCCAACACTGGCGATTTTCTTCCAACCGTTAGGGTTAGGTTGTCCGCTATTGGCTACCAACTGACATGAAGATCACACGAGTCGCTTTGGCGCGTTTCGAATTTGATGGTTTCCCGTTCCCGCCTCGAGACAACGTTTTCTAAAATAATCCGGGCCGTAGATCGGTTTCGTTAAAAAACAATCATACGATTCTACCTCCATCGGTTCCCCTTATTTGTCCCAACGGCCATCCCTCCAGACCCAAGTTCGTTTTCCGAACCTCTTTGCTTCGGAACCGCGCGGCTTTCGCTCCAAAAGGCACCCTTCGTTTTTTTTTGTAGCCATCCATCGAGCCGCGAGTGTTGAACCCCCCACCCCCAATTCCCCAACTCCCTTGGGTTTGGCCGTGGGAATTCCCAGCATGGACATTCCAAGCAGGCATTTTCCAGGAGAAACATCCCAATCACGCATTTCCCAGGAACGACATTTCAACCACGCATTTTTCCCAGCGACATTCCGACCTACTCAACCTAGCCAAACATTTGCACATTCATCTCAACATTGCATTCGTCCGTCTCCAACTCAAATCTCCCGGTAGATGTAGCATATTCGCACCTCGACCAGGCTGCTATCCCAGCGCGTTTACATCCCTTATCAGGGCTTAGCTTCACGTGACGTCAATACGCTCGCTGCTGGCGTTATGGAGACTGAAACCTCGACAACGTGTTTCGACAGAGGTAATTTTCCCATATGTTTCGGTTTAGTTTGTTTTATTTTCTGTTTTCAACACTTTGTGAGCGTTTCTGACGCTGCTTGTGTCCCTCCTTCGCAGTCAGTGTAACATCCGCTATCCGCCACCAGCCGTAGCTGACCATTGCAGAGGAGGAATTTTGGAACCCCGTAGTACCTCATCGACAAGGTACGTTCTCAATCCGCTTCAGTTTTTCGTCCTTGGACCTCCGTGCAAGTTTCTGACTCCGATTTTTTATGTGTTCTTTTTTTGCAGGCAACGTCACATCCGCTGTCCGTCGCCAACTCCCGTCATAGCCGGCCGTCTTCCATTCTCAAGGCCGTCCGCTGCATTCACCACGGTTTCGAGAACACCAATCACTGCGAGCACGACATTCGGTAGGTACGCCTTTACACCTCGACGTCGATTTCTGCGAGCTTGATTTTTACGATTCGTTCTCACTCAACTTCGTTGTTCGCGTGTTCTCAGGTGCGCCACCATTCAACCGAACGTTGAAGCCAACGAGGTCAAGTCCCGCTGTGGCGCCAGTCGGCATGCATACCCGTGGCAGCCCGCATGGCGCTCGGCATGCATGGCAACCGAGCGTCACCTGTCTCTTGGTGCTGCGAACAACATCGCCCTCAAAAGCCCTCTGCGAAGCTAAGTGCACGGCCGACCCCATTCCCTTGCATGCTATTTTCTTTACTTGCACCCTATCAATTGCTCGTTCTCACCCCACCCACCCTTCCCCTCCCGCTCCCCTTGGAAGCCCATGGCCACGGCGCTTGTTTGAACTGCTTGCATAGGGTCTTGTCCCTAGGGGTTTAGATGTTGTTAGACTTAGAGTTGTCGCTGCGTGCACGTGTCAGTCTCCTCCTCCTCGCCGTCTCCCCTCGCCCCTTCGCTTCTGCTTGTGTGCCATGGGCGACCTCCCCCCCCTACCCCCCCCAGGTGACGGAGCTGTTTCACGGGGCTCATCAGGTGCTGGCGCAGCTCCAGGGGACGCACCAGGTGCTGCCGCTGCTCTGCTCGCCTCAGCTGTGCCTCCCCGTCCTCACCTTGTGGACTCCTTGTTCCCTCCGCCCCCTCCACCCGTTGCAGGTCACTCGGTCTCTGAGTGCAAGGAGCAGCGGCAGACGGAGGCGGGGCAGCGAGCAAGCAAAGCACGTGGGGGTGCGTCAGCGTCCTCGTGCCTCCAGCAGCAGCACAAGGCGCCACCTCGCGCTGCATCCCCTGCCTTCTGCGCGCACTCATCAGCTAAGTACCGGTTCCTCCGTGCATGCGTGCATCCGTCTTTTCTGTCGTTTCGCGTTCTCTCAAAACGGCGTCGCTGGTGAAAGCACAGTGCGCAACCCACAGACCCTCCTTATTGCGGGTAAAGCCCCCCCCAGGTTAAGCCTTCAGGTACAGCCCTCACTGCAGGTATACCTTCCCTTGGGTCTGTGGCTAGCAGCTGTGCCTCCACCGGTGGCCCTCCTTCCGCTCGTCCTCCATCTCGCCACGCATGCAGCCATCCCTCACCGTGGCGTTTCTATCCCATTCACTCATTGGCCTTCCACGCGAACCCTTCCCCCCCCCCCCCTCTCTCCCCTTTGCAGGTCGCTCGGCCTCTGAGTGCAAGGAGCTGTGGGAGACGGAGGGGTGGCAGCGAGCAAGCGTTGGCGGTGCGTCAGCGTCCTCCTTTCAGCAACCTGGCGGCAGCTGGCAGCACCTCACGCTGCTTGGCGTGCGTTCTGCACGCACCCACTGCATCAGCTAAGTGCTCGTTCCTCCATTCGCCCACCCTGGCATCCTTCGTCTCGCCTCTGGCTTTTCGCCATCAATTCGTTTCTCTTTTTTCCACAAAAGGGTGCCGCTGGTGGAAGCACAGTCTACAACCCACAGACCCCCGTTACTGCCGGTAAAGCCCCCCCCAGGTTAAGCCTTCAGGTACAGCCCTCACTGCAGGTATACCTTCCCTTGGGTCTGTGGCTAGCAGCTGTGCCTCCACCGGTGGCCCTCCTTCCGCTCGTCCTCCAACTCGCCACGCATACACCAATCCCCTTCCACTCTCGCGTTTCTGACCCACTCACTTGCACACCTCCTCCCCTCCCCCCCCTCCCCTCCTCCCCTCTCCCCCTCCCCCCCCTCCCTCCTCCCCTCTCCCCCTCCCCCCTGGCAGGAGCTGAGTGCGAGCGCTGTTGCGTCTGTGCGCGCCTGAGGCGCCACGCCGGCTGCCCCTTCCATGTGCTCAACACCTGCTCGTCCAACGCCACCGCTCCTGCCTGCACTCACCTGCAGCACACCAACCCAGTAAGTGCGTCCCCCTCCCTGGATCCAGCCTCGCAATGTCTCTGTTACTCCCTTCAGTTCTTATTCGCTTCGCATGTACTTTCACACCCCTCCCCTTAAAGACAATGCCACTGGTTGCGCCCGACCCACGTACCACACACCCCCCTACTTCAGGTAAACCCTTCAGGTGCTCCCCCCTCAGGTTCAGCCCCCCCCAGGTGCAGGTCCCCTTGGGGTCTGTGGCGTGTGGCCGTGGCTCCTCCAGTTGCCCCTCCCTTGATCGTCCAGCGTTGGCTGCTTCCAATCCGTGGCTTGTGCCTGCTGCCATGCCATGCACACTGACCACTGCCGTGTGTGTGCATTGCAGGTGCTGGGGAGGGGCGTGGGGTCAACACCGACATTCCCCCACGCCCCTCCCCCGTGGCCGTGCAGGGACGCACTCGGGAGCGCTGGGAGGAGGGCTGCCGTGGAAGGGAGTCGCCTGCTGGTGCCTCTGCTGCCTGCTGCTCGCCCTCACGCCACGGCTCTAAGTTAAGTGGCCGTTCCTCCCTGCCCTCACTCTTGCATGTCACATCACGTTTTGCAATTGCTGTCATTTCGATTCTTGCATGTGCTTCCGTACCCCTCCCCTTCAAACAATGCCACTGGTTGGGCCCGGCGTACATGCCTCAGACCCCCTGATTCAGGTGCAGGTATCCTCCCTCAGGTGCAGGTACCCCCCCCTCAGGTTCAGCCTCCCCCAGGTGCAGGTCCCCTTGGAGTCTGTGGCGTGTGGCCGTGGCTCCACCAGTGGCCCCTCCCTTGTTCTTCCAGCCTTGGCAGTTTCCAGTCCGTGGCTTGTGCCTGCTGCCATGCCATGCACACTGACCACTGCCGTGTGTGTGCATTGCAGGTGCTGGGGAGGGGCGTGGGGTCAACACCGACATTCCCTCACGCCCCTCCCCTGTGGCCGTGCAGGGATGCACATGGGACGGCTGGGAGGAGGGCTGCCTTGTGCTGCAAGGGAGAGTATCTGGGGTGGGCTCGGCCTTTCAAGGTGATCCCTTTCCTTGTGCCGCTATGTGTGTTCGATCGCTTTCTGGTTTTGTCCTATTTGGCACTCCCTTCCCTGGACTCACTTCTCTCTTCTCCCTTTCCCCCCCCTCCCCCCCAACTCCCCTCCCGTCCCCTCCCCGCCCTCGCTCGTGGCAGGTCTTTTGCCAGCCCCAACTAGCAGGGCCTGTACCTGAGAGCGGTGCAGCAGCAGCAGCAGTGGATGCTGCTGCAAGGGAGAGTATCTGGGTCGGGCTCGGCTGTTGAAGGTAAGCCCCACTCTTCCCTGCTGCAGTACCTGCTCGTTCACTTTCTGCTTCTGTTTCCATTGGCTTTCCCTTCCTGGCACTCATTCCTCTCGTCTCCCTTCCTCCTCGCCACCCCCCAACCCCTCCCCCCCCTCCTGGCAGGTCACTTGGCAGCAGCCAGCGAGACTGCAGCAGAGCCTGTAGCTGAGCAGCAGTGGTGCGGCTGTTGTGGCAGCAGCAGCAGGGTTTCCTCCTGCAAGGGAGAGTATTTGGGCTGGGATTGGCTGTTCAAGGTAAGCCCCTCTCCTCCCTACTGCAATTCCTGTTCATTCGCTTTCTGCTTCTGTATTGGTTGGCGCGCCCTCCCCTCCACTCACTTCTCTCTTCTCCCTTCCTCCTCACCACCCCCCGCACCCCCTCCCCCCCTCCTGGCAGGTCACTTGGCAATGGCAGCAAGTCTGCAGCAGAGCCTGTAGCTGAGCAGCAGCAGCAGCAGCAGGGACAGGGCAGCAGCATGGGCGGGGGTCTGTTAAGGGCGATAGGTGTGTGCGAGGTACCGGTATGGTATGGTATGGTGTAGGTACAGGTATGGTATGGTGTAGGTACAGGTATGGTATAGTGTAGGTACAGGTATGGTATGGTGTAGGTACAGGTATGGTATGGTGTAGGTACAGGTATGGTATGGTGTAGGTACAGGTATGGTATGGTGTAGGTACAGGTATGGTATGGTGTAGGTACAGGTATGGTATGGTGTAGGTACAGGTATGGTATGGTGTAGGTACAGGTATGGTACGGTATGGTGACATTCCCCTCCTCTTTCTCCTCCCTGCCTCCCTCAGCAGCCTCCCCTTGGCGCATTGGATTGGAGCAAGCAGAGGAGCAGAGGAGAGTATCTCACACCCCCCTCCTCTTTCTCAGCAGCTTCCCCTTGGAGCTCTGGAGCTAGCAGAGGAGAGCTGTTCTCACCCCCTCCTCTTTCGCCCCAGCAGCTTCCCACCCCTTGGTGCACCAGAGGAGGAAGCAAGAAGGTTGCTGTGGAGAGTCCCTCACACCCCCCAACCCCCTCCCTCCCCCAGCAGCGTCAAATCCCTTGGCTGGGCATGGCGGTGGTAAGTGAGGTAAGCTGAAGGCGTGGGGGAGGGGATGGAGGTGGGTGGGGCGGGGTGGGGGATGGCATGCGGTGCTGGCTCCTGGGGGCAGCATCTTCAGTACTATAAGCAATGAGGGCTGGGTGAGGCAGTGCAACTACACGTGTCAAGCACTCTGTGTCCAATCGCAATACCCGTGCGTTAATGCATAATGGGCCCATGGCAGACCATTGCGGCCGAATGGTTCTGTCTCGCGCCAGCTCTTGCCACGCCGGTGAGGGGTAGTTGGATCTTGGGCTTACCGTGTACTTGCCTCCTGCCTCACTTGGCACCTCAGCGCAATGGGTACTGCCGGTGCTGCTTCTAAGGGGCCTGTGCTGCATGCCGCTCCTGCTGCTGGCGGTTGAAGGGATGGTGGGTGAGGGAGGTGGTGGTGCTGGTGGTGGTGAGAAGGGGTGCTGCTGCTGGTGCTGGCGGTGGTGGTGGCAGGCGGGTGTGGTGGTGGGGGTGGTGGTGTGAAATGGCGGTGGTGCTGGTGGTGGTGGTGGTGAGAAGTGGTGGTGGTGAGAAGTGGCGAGACGGGGTGGTGGTGGTGAGAAGTGGCGAGATGGGGTGGTGGTGGTGAGAAGTGGGGAGATGGGGTGGTGGTGGTTAGAAGTGGCGAGATGGGGTGGTGGTGGTGAGAAGTGGCGAGATGGGGTGGTGGTGGAGAGAAGTGGCGAGATGGGGTGGTGGTGGTGAGAAGTGGCGAGATGGGGTGGTGGTGGTGGCGAGATGGGGTGGTGGTGGTGAGAAGTGGTGAGATGGGGTGGTGGTGGTGAGAAGTGGCGAGATGGGGTGGTGGTGGTGAGAAGTGGCGAGATGGGGTGGTGGTGGAGGGTGATGGGCAGTGAAGGTGGGGGGTTGTGGTGGTGCTGGGATGTGGTAGAGGGGTGGTGAGAGCCCCCTGGGTATGTTGAGACCGATGTAGGGGAAGGGGGTTGGAGCACCCTGGGTAAGGCAAGCGAGGGGCAGGGGGGGGAAGGGGGGTTGAAACCCTCTGGTTCATGCGAGCATGGGGCAGGGGGGCAGGGGAATCCCCCTGCTCTGCCTTCGGCTCGCCTTAACCTGGGAGTTTCAACCCCCCTCTCTTGCCTCTCAATTGCCTTGCTCTGGTGCCTTCAGACTCCGCCCCTTGCCTGGGTGCCAACTTATTTAGGGGGTTCTCACAACCCCTTTGCCGGATCACATTGCCACCCCAACCTTTCACCATTCACCAGCACCAGCACCATCACCACTCCTCACCTGGCGCCCAGCCCCTGGCCCTCTGCCAGTTTTGTTGTGCAGTGGTGGGTGGTTGTGCTCATGCACGCACATGGCCACTCCAGGTGGCTGGGTTGATGCTGCCACTTGTAGTGGGGAGTGGTGGTGATAGATGGTGGTGGTGAGTGGTGAGGAGTGGTGGTGATAGTTGGTGGTGGGCGGTGGTGGTGGTGGGGAGTTGTGGTGGTGGGCGGTGGTGGGGGGGAGTTGTGGTGGTGGGCGGTGGTGGTGGGGAGTTGTGGTGGTGGGCGGTGGTGGTGGGGAGTTGTGGTGGTGGGCGGTGGTGGGGGGGAGTTGTGGTGGTGGGCGGTGGTGGTGGGGAGTTGTGGTGGTGGGCGGTGGTGGTGGGGAGTTGTGGTGGTGGGCGGTGGTGGTGGGGAGTTGTGGTGGTGGGCGGTGGTGGTGGGGAGTTGTGGTGGTGGGCGGTGGTGGTGGGGAGTTGTGGTGGTGGGCGGTGGTGGTGGGGAGTTGTGGTGGTGGGCGGTGGTGGGGGGGAGTTGTGGTGGTGGGCGGTGGTGGGGGGGAGTTGTGGTGGTGGGCGGTGGTGGTGGGGAGTTGTGGTGGTGGGCGGTGGTGGTGGGGAGTTGTGGTGGTGGGCGGTGGTGGGGGGGAGTTGTGGTGGTGGGCGGTGGTGGTGGGGAGTTGTGGTGGTGGGCGGTGGTGGTGGGGAGTTGTGGTGGTGGGCGGTGGTGGTGGGGAGTTGTGGTGGTGGGCGGTGGTGGTGGGGAGTTGTGGTGGTGGGCGGTGGTGGTGGGGAGTTGTGGTGGTGGGCGGTGGTGGTGGGGAGTTGTGGTGGTGGGCGGTGGTGGGGGGGAGTTGTGGTGGTGGGCGGTGGTGGGGGGAGTTGTGGTGGTGGGCGGTGGTGGTGGGGAGTTGTGGTGGTGGGCGGTGGTGGGGGGGAGTTGTGGTGGTGGGCGGTGGTGGGGGGGAGTTGTGGTGGTGGGCGGTGGTGGTGGGGAGTTGTGGTGGTGGGCGGTGGTGGGGGGGAGTTGTGGTGGTGGGCGGTGGTGGTGGGGAGTTGTGGTGGTGGGCGGTGGTGGTGGGGAGTTGTGGTGGTGGGCGGTGGTGGTGGGGAGTTGTGGTGGTGGGCGGTGGTGGTGGGGAGTTGTGGTGGTGGGCGGTGGTGGTGGGGAGTTGTGGTGGTGGGCGGTGGTGGTGGGGAGTTGTGGTGGTGGGCGGTGGTGGGGGGGAGTTGTGGTGGTGGGCGGTGGTGGGGGGGAGTTGTGGTGGTGGGCGGTGGTGGTGGGGAGTTGTGGTGGTGGGCAGTGGTGGGGGGGAGTTGTGGTGGTGGGCGGTGGTGGTGGTGGGGAGTTGTGGTGGTGGGCGGTGGTGGGGGGAGTTGTGGTGGTGGGCGGTGGTGGGGGGGAGTTGTGGTGGTGGGCGGTGGTGGTGGGGAGTTGTGGTGGTGGGCGGTGGTGGTGGGGAGTTGTGGTGGTGGGCGGTGGTGGTGGGGGGAGTTGTGGTGGTGGGCGGTGGTGGGGGGGAGTTGTGGTGGTGGGCGGTGGTGGTGGGGAGTTGTGGTGGTGGGCGGTGGTGGTGGGGAGTTGTGGTGGTGGGCGGTGGTGGTGGGGAGTTGTGGTGGTGGGCGGTGGTGGGGGGAGTTGTGGTGGTGGGCGGTGGTGGGGGGAGTTGTGGTGGTGGGCGGTGGTGGGGGGAGTTGTGGTGGTGGGCGGTGGTGGTGGGGAGTTGTGGTGGTGGGCGGTGGTGGGGGGGAGTTGTGGTGGTGGGCGGTGGTGGGGGGGAGTTGTGGTGGTGGGCGGTGGTGGTGGGGAGTTGTGGTGGTGGGCGGTGGTGGTGGGGAGTTGTGGTGGTGGGCAGTGGTGGGGGGAGTTGTGGTGGTGGGCGGTGGTGGTGGGGAGTTGTGGTGGTGGGCGGTGGTGGTGGGGAGTTGTGGTGGTGGGCGGTGGTGGGGGGAGTTGTGGTGGTGGGCGGTGGTGGTGGGGAGTTGTGGTGGTGGGCGGTGGGTGGTGGGGAGTTGTGGTGGTGGGCGGTGGTGGTGGGGAGTTGTGGTGGTGGGCGGTGGTGGTGGGGAGTTGTGGTGGTGGGCGGTGGTGGTGGGGAGTTGTGGTGGTGGGCGGTGGTGGTGGGGAGTTGTGGTGGTGGGCGGTGGTGGTGGGGAGTTGTGGTGGTGGGCGGTGGTGGTGGGGAGTTGTGGTGGTGGGCGGTGGTGGGGGGGAGTTGTGGTGGTGGGCGGTGGTGGGGGGGAGTTGTGGTGGTGGGCGGTGGTGGTGGGGAGTTGTGGTGGTGGGCGGTGGTGGGGGGGAGTTGTGGTGGTGGGCGGTGGTGGGGGGAGTTGTGGTGGTGGGCGGTGGTGGTGGGGAGTTGTGGTGGTGGGCGGTGGTGGTGGGGAGTTGTGGTGGTGGGCGGTGGTGGTGGGGAGTTGTGGTGGTGGGCGGTGGTGGTGGGGAGTTGTGGTGGTGGGCGGTGGTGGTGGGGAGTTGTGGTGGTGGGCGGTGGTGGGGGGGAGTTGTGGTGGGTGGGCGGTGGTGGGGGGGAGTTGTGGTGGTGGGCGGTGGTGGTGGGGAGTTGTGGTGGTGGGCGGTGGTGGGTGGGGAGTTGTGGTGGTGGGCGGTGGTGGGTGGGCGGTGGTGGGGGGGGAGTTGTGGTGGTGGGCGGTGGTTTGTGGTGGCGGGGGGGAGTTGTGGTGGTGGGCGGTGGTGGGGGGAGTTGTGGTGGTGGCGGTGGTTGGGTGGTGGGTTGTGGGGTTGGTGGTGGGTGGTGGGGGGAGTTGTGGTGGTGGGCGGGGTGGGGGGAGTTGTGGGGTGGCGGTGTGGTGGTGGGGGAGTTGTGGTGGTGGGCGGTGGTGGTGGGGGAGTTGTGGTGGTGGGGCGGTGGTGGTGGGGAGTTGTGGTGGTGGGCGGTGGTGGTGGGGAGTTGTGGGTGGTGGGCGGTGGTGGTGGGGAGTTGTGGTGGTGGGCGGTGGTGGGGGGAGTTGTGGTGGTGGGCGGTGGTGGTGGGGAGTTTGTGGTGGTGGGCGGTGGTGGTGGGGAGTTGTGGGTGGTGGGGGCGGTGGTGGTGGGGGGAGTTGTGGTGGTGGGGCGGTGGTGGTGGGGGAGTTGTGGTGGTGGGCGGTGGTGGTGGGGGGGGTGGTGGGGAGTTGTGGTGGTGGGCGGTGGTGGTGGGGAGTTGTGGTGGTGGGCGGTGGTGGTGGGGAGTTGTGGTGGTGGGCGGTGGTGGGGGGAGTTGTGGTGGTGGGGCGGTGGTGGTGGGAGTTGTGGTGGTGGCGGTGGTGGTGGGGAGTTGTGGTGGTGGGCGGTGGTGGTGGGGAGTTGTGGGTGGTGGGGGTGGTGGTGGGGAGTTGGGGTGGTGGGCGGTGGTGGGGGAGTTGTGGTGGGCGGTGGTTGGTGGGGGAGTTGTGGTGGTGGGCGGTGGTGGGGGGGGGAGTTGTGGTGGTGGGCGGTGGTGGGGGGAGTTGTGGTGGTGGGCGGTGGTGGTGGGGAGTTGTGGTGGTGGGCGGTGGTGGTGGGGAGTTGTGGTGGTGGGCGGTGGTGGTGGGGAGTTGTGGTGGTGGGCGGTGGTGGGGGGAGTTGTGGTGGTGGGCGGTGGTGGTGGGAGTTGTGGTGGTGGGCGGTGGGGTGGGGAGTTGTGGTGGTGGGCGGTGGTGGGGAGTGTGGTGGTGGGGGTGGGGTGGGAGGTTGTGGTGGTGGGGGTGGTGGGGGGAGTTGTGGTGGTGGGCGGTGGTGGGGGGAGTTTGTGGTGGTGGGCGGTGGTGGTGGGGAGTTGTGGTGGTGGGCGGTGGTGGGGGGAGTTGTTGGTGGTGGCGGGGTGGGGGGGGGAGTTGTGGTGGTGGGCGGTGGTGGGGGGGAGTTGTGGTGGTGGGCGGTGGTGGGGGAGTTGTGGTGGTGGGCGTGGGGGGGGGGGGGGGGTGGTGGGGGAGTTGTGGTGGTGGGCGGTGGTGGTGGGGAGTTGTGGTGGTGGGCGGTGGTGGTGGGGAGTTGTGGTGGTGGGCGGTGGTGGGGGGAGTTGTGGTGGTGGGCGGTGGTGGTGGGGAGTTGTGGTGGTGGGCGGTGGTGGGGGGGAGTTGTGGTGGTGGCGGTGGTGGTGGGGAGTTGTGGTGGTGGGCGGTGGTGGTGGGGAGTTGTGGTGGTGGGCGGTGGTGGTGGGGAGTTGTGGTGGTGGGCGGTGGTGGTGGGGAGTTGTGGTGGTGGGCGGTGGTGGTGGGGAGTTGTGGTGGTGGGCAGTGGTGGGGGGGAGTGTGGTGGTGGGCGGTGGTGGTGGGAGTTGTGGTGGTGGGCGGTGGTGGTGGGGAGTTGTGGTGGTGGGCGGTGGTGGTGGGGAGTTGTGGTGGTGGGCGGTGGTGGTGGGGAGTTGTGGTGGTGGGCGGTGGTGGTGGGGAGTTGTGGTGGTGGGCGGTGGTGGTGGGGAGTTGTGGTGGTGGGCGGTGGTGGTGGGGAGTTGTGGTGGTGGGCGGTGGTGGTGGGGAGTTGTGGTGGTGGGCGGTGGTGGGGGGGAGTTGTGGTGGTGGGCGGTGGTGGGGGGGAGTTGTGGTGGGCGGTGGTGGTGGGGAGTTGTGGTGGTGGGCGGTGGTGGGGGGGAGTTGTGGTGGTGGGCGGTGGGGGGGAGGTGGTGGGGGGGGGGGGGGAGTTGTGGTGGTGGGCGGTGGTGGTGGGGAGTTGTGGTGGTGGGCGGTGGTGGTGGGGAGTTGTGGTGGTGGGCGGTGGTGGTGGGGAGTTGTGGTGGTGGGCGGTGGTGGTGGGGAGTTGTGGTGGTGGGCGGTGGTGGTGGGGAGTTGTGGTGGTGGGCGGTGGTGGTGGGGAGTTGTGGTGGTGGGCGGTGGTGGTGGGGAGTTGTGGTGGTGGCGGTGGTGGTGGGGAGTTGTGGTGGTGGGCGGTGGTGGTGGGGAGTTGTGGTGGTGGGCGGTGGTGGTGGGGAGTTGTGGTGGTGGGCGGTGGTGGTGGGGAGTTGTGGTGGTGGGCGGTGGTGGTGGGGAGTTGTGGTGGTGGGCGGTGGTGGTGGGGAGTTGTGGTGGTGGGCGGTGGTGGTGGGGAGTTGTGGTGGTGGGGCGGTGGTGGTGGGGGAGTT